ATTGTTTAAGCATTCCCATCTATATAATTATATACATATATACATAGACATGTATATAGACATCATTTTCAGCTATAATCTTAGTAGATTAATTTTGCTTAGTAAGTTTTGTTCTTGGGCACAAGGACAACTACTAAACTGGAAAGCTACAGAACAGTAGATGTATGATATCTCCCTTTGCCCCAGGAAGGCATGAAAGTGTGGTGTCTCACAGCCTGTCTCAGCTTGAGGGCCTTGCTTAGCTGAATACGTGGCTTTGCTATCACTGCCTGGGCCAAAAGGCTCTTAAGCTCTTTGTTCACATCGGGCTCCAAGGGACAGGTTGTTTGTAGTTGTGTGTCTCTCATTTTTTCATTTTGGAATTTATGCTAGTGCCAGCTCTTCATGACATGTAAGATCCCAGTTTCTTCCTGAGATGGAGGTGCTCGAGCCCCATTACACTCAGGCTGCCTTTCTTGCCTCTGTTTCACACTCTCTCAGCCTCAGATATTCCTACAGGGGAGAATTATATCCCTTTGAGGGACTGGAGTACAAAAGTGGCACTGCTGGACAAAGGGAGTAAGCTCATAGCACAGTAGCTGTTTAAGGTGGAAAAAAATGGGCTATAGTTTAAGGTGGAAAAAAATCAATCAAATAATTGATTATGCTGGAAAACTAAGAAGAGGAGAGGAAAAAAAAAAAAGAAATTTAGCTTTAAGTGTCCAGCAGAATTTATCAAGGCAAATCAGATCATCTCAAATACACTCTGTCTAAATTACAGTGTAAGAGTTGTGACTTTCCTGAAAAAAGAAAATGAATTCCATAAACGGAAAGGTTTTATTGCCCACTTGGTTTGGCTCTGGAAGGAAAGAGTGCAATTTGGAAACAGAGGGAGTAGTCATAACATGGTCAAATGTTCTGAGAGAGATTTGTCTTCCCTCTTGTCCCTTTGAAAGATCCTAATCCAACAAAGCACAAACCTGTGAGAAGTGGATGGTCAGACCTGAGGCTTGCTGCAGGGAAATAGTGAAAACTAAGACTGTAACCCAAGACACTTGAGATCCATCTAGTAGTTGTGTCTTTGTTTCTGTTTTTAACCGCAACAACACAATATTGCTCCTCTTCTCCCCAGCCCTGCTTTGCTTATGCTTCAGAACAATTAAGAGAGGAACAAGTTTAACTTTCCTAAACTCATCTTGGAGCAAGTGTTTACCACAGAAAATTTCATCCCATCTGAAATTACTCATTGTCCTAGCACTTAGCAAAAAACTGTGCCAGGTAAAGCACTGTGATAAACATTGCTAACTAGTTTTGTCAACTGATCTTCGAAGTCCATACTAAGGTCTTTAGCTAATTTGTTGTACTGATAGCAATGAGTTTGTATGACTCCTGTTGATCACTTATTACTGATCATTGTAAGGCTTTTCCACAAGTATTAAATTTCAACATCACAATCACCAAAAAGTTGGTGATGTTTGGTATTAGTAAATTACTTGTTTTCTTTTTTTTATCTTTTTTTTAGCCTCTACTCACCTATGATTTCTTAGGAGAAAGCCCACTAATCAAGTTTTCCTTGTCACACATGACTTGGAGCTTTGTTAAAAAAAAAAAATAGATCTTAAACTGATGTTGTTTATTAATATCTTACTTCTTGCAGGAGATACATAACATCTTCTCCACACTTGACCCAGTTTGAAAAGGCGGGCTATGTGTCTTTTGAGTCTGTAGCTTGGATTACAAGAAAAAAAATTAATTAGAATATGGCCTTTGTCTGAGAGACGAACTGACACGCATTTATTAAAATCTGTAATCCATCACAGTTGAAGATTATAGAAGATTTTTTTTTTACGATTCTTATTTTTTTCTAGATCAGAACCAATATGTGTGAGTAAAGAGATTATCCTAAGCACTTATGTTTTAAATAACTTGTCAGCATGCTAAGATGATGAATGTGATTACAAACATCTAGAAGAAACCTTGACTGACAGCTGATTCCTTGGATTATAAATTTGAAATGTCTGCAAAACATTTAGGTTGAAAGGAACAGTTATATCAAGATTGGATTTTAGGAAGGAGGAGTCCTTTTTTGCTTTTGGTCCATAGTGGCTTGAAAAACATAGTAGAATTAATTTGCCTAAAATTTAATTTTTATATACAACTGTATGAAACTGTAAATACATTAATAGAAAATAATTTCATGCTTTTTATTTTGATATGTGAGGCAACAAGCCAGTTTTCTTTAAAAAAAAAGGCTGAAGAAATAGCACATGATCACTATAGTCCCTCTTGTGTGCTAATGTGCAGAAGTATAGTATCTGCTAATAAGGTTATGGAATATGATTTGAAAATAGCCATAAAATCACAAATAATTTCTCTTGTACAGGCACCCCTAGCAATTAGGAAATCAAAAATTGTATCATTTTTGAATGAGAAAGCAAATCTGTATAATATCACTGTCCCTGTTAGACCAGATGTGCAAATGGAGTGTGTCAGCCAACCTAAGAGCTTTAAAGGAACTGGTAAAGAACCCTCAGGCCACTTGGAAAAAGAAGATCCTCCCTTTCTCAAAGCACAACCATTAAACACCTTTGTCTGCACCAACTTTGTGCCTGAACACTGTGAAGAATGTGTATGTGTAATTCAACAGTCTTACAAAAATGTGTATCATTTGGGACAATGCACCCATTCTGTACATTTTTAACTCTTGTCACTCCCCAAACCCCACAAATATTATAAGAAAATAAGTCTAGATCCTATTCTTCAAAGGCATTTTAACTCAGCTAGGGATACATCACGTGTTTGCTTGCACTTAGGAGTCATATATCAGCCCTGTTCTTCCTGAACTTCAGAATTGGCAAATATGCAGGCATGACAAGGACCACAGGAAAAAAAAAGTTGTAAAATTTTTATATTTTATATTTTGAATAAAGATGTCCTGCCTCAGAAAAGTAGGTTCCCTCTGAGTTATTCCATGAACTAATTATGGCTTTGAACTAAAGAGATGAGTACTGCTATCTGCAGGCACATGGCTAGCACCCCCTGACCTGAGGCTGAGCCACCTGCACAGATCCTGAGAAACTGCTGGGCATCAGAGGGGAAGCTGCTGGAGAGGTAAGAACAAGCAGCTGGCAGGTTTTAAGAAGAATGACATGAAGTCTGGTGGCACCACACAGGTGGTTCATGGGGAGTTATGTGAGGGAAGGCCAAGCTCTGCTGGAGACATTCTGGAAAGAAAAGCTTAAAAGGCCAGAAATAGTAGGGAACTGTTGGTAGTACCATGTATGGCTGAGATGATCTAAGTGGCAGCATCTGACATTACACATTTGGATATGGCTATAAGAAAACTAAGACCCATGAAGGTAATTAGGTAAGAAGGTTGTTTATCTACTAAAAGATAGAGAAGGCTGAAGAAACAGAGGGATCAATGTGGATGGGGAAATAAGCATGGGAAAAAGGAGAGAAGAGGGTAAAAGATGTTTGCATGTATGTGTGCTAGTTACTGGGCAGTACTTTGCCCTGTGCCTGACCACTGCCCTCTGTCCTGTTTCCTTCTTAAGTTCTAGTCCTATTCTCTGTGTCATGAATTCTGTTTCTACCATCCTCTGGGTGTGTATGCATGCGTGTCTCCCTGTGTGTGAGCATGTGTGTGTGTATGCACGTGTGTGTGCCCTGCATGCTCCCTGGCTGCGCCCACACAGGGACATTGGGCTGAGACAGGAGAATCGTCCTGCATGCAGCTCTGGGGGGCAGGAAAGGGGGAACCTCTGGGGTCCTGAGACCAATGTATTCAGCCACTCCATAACCTCTGGGACTGCACTGCTGTGGTTATAAAGAGAAGTGGGCAAATGTAAAAGAGAATTTAAGCACATTAACATTTTACCACAGTTCTACAAAAAAACACCTATCTGTTACATGGATTAGACAACCTCCAGTGGTCCCTTCCAACCTTAAGCATCTCCGTGATTCTGTTATACGTTGTTTTGTCTACATGATTTTATTTATTTTTTAATAAAATAGGATGAGCATGAAAAAGTCTCTCTTACTGCTAGGTGTTCTGTCATTCTGTGCCATTCTGTCTCCTGGTCTAGCACCTTCGTTTCATGTATCAACAGTATGAGGATTTTTTAAAGTTTCTGCTGTTTAGATTTCTCTAAACTTAAATTTATTTTAGCTTTGTTGCAGCTTCACCTATCCTCAATCCTACACTGCTGAGGGGGTCTAGATCTATCTGCTGACATGCTTAAATCCTTCATACAACCCTACTTTAGGAATCAGTCAACTAAAATCTCCAAGCCCACATCAGGCTCATCTTTTCCTATGCTTAGTTTTCATCTAAGGTAGGGTCCATTAGTTTCTGTGGCATTCTACTCCAGAACAGTATCTCTGTTCCCAGTCTTTCTATGTAGCAACTGTATATACCAAAGTGAGAAAATAGTTGCTCTCATAGCCTGTGTTTGTTTTAAACAAATATGTTATTCTCCTCCAGCCTCCTTGGTGCTGCAACCTTCAGTACAATCACTATCTTTTCTGAGTTCAGAAGCTTACAGAAAATAATTGAGTGGCCAACTTGAAACATTTTTTGTTCTTTCAGTGACTACTTGCTCTATTGCTTCCCGGAGTTTGACTGTTGCCTTGCCAAAGGAGGCAGCAAAGATCTCAGCAGCTGAATGAATGATCTGAAACAGTCAGCATGGAGAAGTCTTGGGAGGGGGCAGCTAAGGCAATTGGGAGGCCTGGGATAGCCCATTAACCTGTGAGTGACCAGACTAGGAGATGAGCAAGGAGAGGCCAAAGAAGGAGCTAATGTGGGCACTGAGGGGACAGGTGGGAGTGGAGCAGAGATTAAATAATATGAAAGTTTTCCGTAAGTGTCTCCTGAACTTGCAGATTCCATGGGAAGTGCAGCTGCCTGCAGTCAGTGATAAGTCCTTTTTCTTGTAAGTAAAAGCTCTCCAACATGACAGTGAAGACTGTGTGGAAGTATAGTGGACTTTACTGTACATGAAAGACTGCTCAGCACAGACTGTAATATTTATATTTATTTTTTGCAATGCCATAGGTAAAAACAATTTAACAATGCCAAATACAGTGTTATTCTCATAAAAACTTCTCATTTCAAAACAAGTGGTTTCTAGTTCCCACAAAAAGTTAAAATCACATGCAGCTATATGAAGGTAAATTGCTTAAGATGCACAATTATATATCAGAAGACTTTGTTAAAATAAAAACATACTGACTACAACTTTTTAACAAGGCAATTACACAGAACTAGAAAACTGACTCTGTAGTAAAATATAAAAATCTACAATTATAAATATAAATTTGGTCCATGGATCACTACAGAAGTAGCAGTATTTACAGTAAGTATCAGATTACTATTCTAAATGTCTAATAGAAGTCTTAAAATGTTGAATGTTATGTAGAACAGTATTTTATTTACATTCTACTATATTAAAAGTTATATTTCTAGCAAATGTAAATTGTTATAAATACAGCAAATAGATCAAATACTAAACCCATTGCATGTTTGTAATTGAGGATTCCCTAACATCTATAAATATGATAATTTTAAGTTAAAAGTAAAGCCAGATAAATCAAAAAACTAATACTGAAAAAATCATACCACAATTCAATTCTTAGAAACACTGTAAAAGTCAATCAAGTTAGTCCAGACATAACAATGTATTACAAGTAATCTTTCAAGAAAAGGCACACATTGTTAATGATAAGAGTTCCACAGTAAAGTTGTATGTAACAGAAAAGACTGTTGGTTTGAGCAACGGCTGGGATTTGATTATATATAGAGAGACTGCACAGATTTTCCCCACCCAAAGTATAAAACTGAAAATAATAATGGTAAACTACAGGTGTGACTGGTGTGATGTAGTGATGTGTACGTTTAATTTGATGTGTTAATTAAACTAAAGATTCTAAACTTTCAGCTGCATTTCCATCGGGTAAAGCTGAGCCATTACTGTCCATAGATGCCGAAGGGTTTTCTTCTTGCCTTGTGCTGACAAGGCTGAGAATAGCTTTGTACAGAAACTGGTACTGTTCCTGGAGAAGAAAAGAGGATACAGTCAAAATTAATTAACAGCTGATGTATCAGTCACACATCTGTGCACATGGAGCACAACTGTGCTCCACAATTTATTATGTTACTTACTTAGCAGCTTTATTGATTTTATGACTAATGATTCCCCCTGTACATGATGTAAAGCAGAACATTAGGGAATATAGTACAGGTAGGGGAGAAAGCTGTATTTTTAAAGAAATATTATATGCTGAATCTGATCCTTGTTAAAGTCAGTTACAAATCTGGGGGAAGAATTAGGGCTACTGTTTGCCTGTTGGCTTTTTTTGTAATTTTTTGTCATCTGAATTCTATCCACGAAGATTTTTTCTTTTCTTTTTTCTTTTTGGTGCTTGCAGTTACTGTTCCTGTTTTTGAAGATCCTGCCAGGAATAAGAGGTAGAAAGACAGACAAGACTGTGAGAAGATTCATCAAGGAGGCCACTGTCCAAGAAGGGGCAGAGGATCTCAGTTGGATGCATGGGAAATAGGGAGTGCCAGAAGCCAGCTGGACTGCAGTGTGGGCTGGGAATGAGGAAACAGTTGGGATGGTCTGTGCAGGGAGAGCAGGCACAGCAAAGGCTGTGCTGGCAGTGGATGCTCTGAAAGGGCAGAGGAATATTTTGGGTATATAAGGATAAAGAATTTCTGTGAGGGAAGAAGTGTGGAACAGTAAGACAGACTAAATAGGGTGGGATTTGGGGTCTGAACTATTAGCTTGGGTTAAGAGATATGGGGTAGAAAGAGCCACAAATTTGAAAATCTGCAGTAAGAGGATGGGAATCTGGAATCTAAGATAAAGGACCTAGGTATTTGCTCTAGGATCCTGGGGAAAAAGGAGTGAAATGTCCTGATGGTTCTTCTGAGGTGGAAAGAGTTCCACTTTCACTCCATTGTCTGCCAGTCTCCTCACTCTGGGCTACCCAGGCAGGGCAAGGTGTGGACACATTTGTCAATCCTGTGTTATGTTCTGTTTTTGCTGTCAAAAATTGGATAATGCTAACCCAAACATTTTACTCCTAAAGTGTTCTCCTTATTACACTCATTTGTAACTCTAGCAGTCGGGTATGTAATGATATGACCAAAGAGGTGGGATTCATAATTTTTATTTCTGTGATGAATTTTAATTTGTAGGACACTGCCTTAGCAAGTAATTCTTATGTATTGTACTTTATACTTTTCACATTTTTTTTCCTTCCTGCAGGCACAGTGACAATGGTGTCAAGTGACAATTCAACAGATCATGAAAGATCAAGGTCCATCCTGAAGTGGAAAACTAAGGTAACTACTTTAGGGTCTACCTGGAGCACAAATTTATTCCTGATACATTAAAACCTTAGTTTACATGACATAATACAGATTTTATGATCATGGCAGCAGCTCTGCACATTTTGAATATCACCACTTGATAACCACAAAATAGGTTTTCACAGGAAATTCTTTGTTTTGGAATAGGCAGCAGGTCCACTACAGCACCTCTGGAAGACAGTTTTGAATAACTCATGCAGAAACTAAGAGGTTAGTGGTTCAGTAATGTTGCTCTAAGATCTAGAGCTAATAATGTCCATATAGGGAAAAAATGCACACATTTTGCCTATTACTTACAATGTCTGTAAAGACTCCAGGCCTCATCAAATTTATCATCTTCGCTACATGGTAGACATCCACTGAATTCTCATTTTCCAGTTGATGCATCAGAGTTGTCAGTGCACAGAAAGTTCCTGCTGTCACCCCTCCATGCCTTTATAAAGTAAAACAAAACAAAACAGAAATCTCTAGACACTGAATCAAGTTTTACAGATGGAGAAAATACAAAATCCAGGGTAAACAGATAAGATGAATTTCTGTCATGTGATCTTTGCAATTTCTGAAATAGGTCTGCCTAGCAGTGGCTTAACAAAACTTTCATGGCACCTGGCTACAACTTGAGTTATTTTTCTACAATCCCCTTCTAACCAAATCTGGAAGGCCTTGGGTCCTTCAGTATTTCAACATTTCAGTATTTTTTGTCATTATTGAACAGTTGGAGAAAGGTAAGGTGCCTCATCTAAACAGCCTTACTTCTTTTAGTAAGAAAATGAGGTCCTGACTGATTTCCTTTCCAATGTCCTACCTGATAACTATCCAAAGTATGGCAATAATAAAATTGAAATGAAGTATGATACAATAAAAATGTTTCTCTTTGATGCAGCTGAAACAGAAGCAGCAGCACTGCTGTTAAGTGCAGACTTCATGCCTTGTTTCAGCAGCTTTCACTCTAAATGAGGTGAAATGATGGTTCTACAGAAAATCAAAACAAACAGAAAGCTGCATTTCTTACTCATCATGTACAATCATGGGCCCATCACGGTTGGAAGTTTCCTCTTTGATGATGCTGATCAGTTCAAAAGTTTTACTAATAGGACTATCAGGATTTGGCCATTTTGGACACTGAAAATGCCTCACTTCAAGTACATAGTCATCCTAAACGAGAAAAAAAAACCAAACATAAATCAATTTTGTAAACTATTGTCTTTATTCTTTTCCTTCACCCTGGTCAAGACTGGCTCCAGCCTCCAGATACAGAATCCCACTGCTGTGGAAGTTGGAATACGCTATTCCCCATGTGATCATATTACCTACAGAGGTTACTTCCCCCAGGGGTGTTTCTAGGGCAAGGGTTTTTATCACTCATTTACCATAGAAAATGTAACAAAATGTAGGCATTATCTTTAACAAATCAAGTTATATGTTTATGACAGTGTTACCTGTGTAGCTTCTAAAATAAAGTCTTGGATTATGAGCTTCTCCTCGTTAGACAGACACTTGTGTTCTTCAGCAATCATAGTGACTTTGAAACTCTCACAGTTTATAGGCTCATCTTTGTTTGGCCAATATACAAATTCATCTTCAGCCTCCAGAAAAAAAAAAAAAAGGAGACATAAAGATAAGTAATGTTGAGCTCTTAAAATACAAAATCCATCATAATAAATACTGTGTCATATATTATCAATCCAGCCAACTAGATTTAAACCGACAAATCAAAACTTGATCAGGATTACAATCATGGCAAGTGATGGTTTTCAGACATCTCTGTAGTGATCCTGACCAAAGACCACTGTACCCTGTGGATCCACGTAGCAGTCAACTTGCTGTGTTACACTGTGCCATGCATCCAGCCTGGCCTTCAGGCTGTCCTGTGCTTTGCTGTGCAGTGCACAGGCCATGGCCACAGGATAAACTTAGCTGGTATATTGTAACATAGGAGCCTGCAGGCAGCACTTGAGTAGTCTTGGGATTATCTGAAAGTGCAGACTTCTCATAAGAGCATCCTTTCTGTTTGACAGCAGAAATGATGAAAAGAGTTGTTTTTTATTTAAGAAAACCCTGTAATAGTTTGAATGACCAAAATGGTCAGATGGATACAATCCAAGTTGTTTTCTCATGTCTGGCATATTTCAAAATGGTAATACTAGTAAAATTCAAACATAAACCCATAACCATCAGCCACAAAACTCACCATATTCTGGCTATCAGGAAGCATGACTATTAGCTGGGCATTATGGTCCCATATCATTCTCCAGAAATCCTTGATAGTGTGTAGTAAGGGATGCTGGGTAATAATGAATTCATTACTTTGATAATAACCCTGCAAAAAAAAAATCAACAGGCTCAGAATTGATGCCCAACTATTAATGCTTAAAGGAAGCTTCTAGTGGACCAGAAGTCTAGAAAATACATTGCACAATTGTGTCTTCTTTGGCTTCCTGCAAATATTAGAAAAAAAATTTCCATTGCAGTGTTTTCCACATGAAAGGAGTAAATTCAATTACACTGAAATAATTTTTAAAACCTAAAAAAAAATATAAAAAAAAGGATAAAAGAGACAGAGGAGACTCGAATGGCCAACTCAGAGGAGCTGACTACCTGAAAAAAATATAAGAATACATGAAAGATCTGCAAAAATTCCAAGCAGTTTCTTAATTTGTACAGATGTCTCAAATTAACTTCTTACCACAAAAGAGAGTTCCTTTGCATTAATGCACCTGATGAAGGATCATGTACATATACCACTGCAGAGAGCTTTCCCATCTCTTTCCTGAATGTCCAGGAGGCATTAACTCCTCCCTCTCACCTAATGAAGGGCAAAATGTTGAAGAAAACCCAGAGAACAAAATATAATGGAAAGCTGATGAGCTATGGTGTCTTGGGCTATGCTAGTTGCAAAGGCTCTGTAAGATGAGCAGGTAGGAAGGCAAATCACAGTACAGCCATTAAAAACTAACTTGTTAGTTAACACTTTAAGTTTATCTCACAAGATCCTTCCATAGGCGGCATTTAGCTTTACCAGGTTTTAAAACTATGATGGGATTTCTATTTTTACAGATTGTTAAAATGCAATGCACTTAACCAAACTTAAACCCAGTAATAATGGTAATAGTATTTCCTGGGGGAAGTAACTCTTTCAGGCAGAGCGAATAATGAAAGAAAGGAGCTTTCAAAATCAGGATTGTGCCACCCTAACTCAGACACATGGCAGCTCTGAAAACAGCTATGCATTATTTTTCACCAATATGTTAACTGACTTACCATAATATAGGAAGCATTGATGTAGTCTGTCCCTTCACCAGACAGTGATGAGATACCCACTCTAGATCTTTCCACTGTAAAAAAAAGTTATGAATCAGTAAGTATGTTGCAATGACTCTTATAACATTACAGCAATTATTTCACTTATCTCACAGTGATGATAACACTAAGCTCCATCAATCTTCATCACTGAAGTACTATCCAGCCATCTATTTTGTTTTTCTATGTGTAATTCCTAAATCACTTCTTCATTATAAGTACTTTACAGAACATTGTTCCACACAAATGCAAATGTCTTCAGTTCTTGTTGAGGAAATTTTGAAGGTTTGACACACGAGGTTCATAAACATTTTGCCACCCAGAGAAGACAATTTGAACAAACTTACCAGGAATGATAGATGAAGTTCGGTTCTTTTCTCTGTTACACTGTTTGAGTGCAGTTGAATAATCACACTGCTGTGTGTTAGACTGGCTCAGTAGCTGAAACAATGAAATGTAAAAGAACTCAGGTAACTAGATAAAAGCCATTCTTTCACAAGTTGCACTAAACAGAAGGGTGCACATATTGCAGGTTCAGTGTCTCTCTTAACTTTAGGTATTGTGATAAATAATTGTGATTCATGAAACAAATGGGTGATTACATCAAAATAAAACAAGCGGATTGTAAAACTTAATTACACCCCCATAAAGAAATAAAACAGACCCTTACAAGGTCAAGGGGCCCTAAAACCTCCCTACTATCCTAAGAATAAAATATGGTAGAACTTTAAATCTTTTAGGCGCCTGTTCGTCCAAGAATGCATGAATTACGACCGGTTGTAAAGATAACCATTTAGCTTTAGCTGTAAGAAAACCCATATATTAAATACTTAGCAAAAAACTGTAAAATGTATATGTATATAATATAATTAATATGCAAGAAGTAGCTAAGATAAATGCCAAATGTACACTGTAGTAGGGGTGCAGATTTGGGAAACTTGTCTCCACTTCTGTCACCCAGCCGGCTGCTTGCTTTTACCATATAATAAACTCCTATTCAAAATCTTATAGCAACTTGAGACTTTGTTTATCACAGGTATCTAGTTATCTGGCTAAACAACTTAGAAAGTCATCAGAACTTTTTTCTTCACTGTTCTTAGCAGTTCAAATGACTCTTGAATCTTAGATCAATGAAAATGTCTTTGAAGGTGGAGTCTGTCTTTAACCAGTGATGTACACTGAGGGGAATACACTGATTGATCAATATAGCTCATGACATTATTTCTACAATGACATCGTTCCAGACTGTTGTTTTACCTTTAAGATCTTCCTGCAAAGGTACATAGTTAGATCTTCCAAAATCTACTTATTGGCCTATTTTTTTTTTTAGATCCTTTGTTTAAGAGTAAGCAAATAATTCTTCTGTCACAACTGACTGCATGCATTTGTTAAATTAATGTGAATTTAGGTTCAGCAGCTAATGAAAGTTGTGTTCAGAAAGCTAATGGAAGTTGTGTTGAGATACCTACTTTTAAGTAATTCAGGCTTGCAAAGATAAAGATTTTTGTTACTATCTCAGAGAGCTCACCTTGAATTGTTTCTCCAGTCTGGTCTTTCCTGTTGGTCCAGGTATCAAGAGAGCATTAACATAGGCATGAATGTGGGTCTCAAGGACTTCTGTTTCTTTACTGAGTATTGCTTCAACCAATGCATCGTGAATGAAGATGTATTGCTCCTAGGAAAAAGAAACCAAACGTGAGCTCTCATCATTTTCAGATTCCCCTGGTTATCTCTGGTTAAGCTGCCACTTCTGATGTGGTCACTGTTTCTTCACGGGGGAGCTTTCTCAAATGCTGTCCCCTAGAGTGATAACTGTCCCTTTGCAGTGACAGTACACATTTAAAAGCACAACTGACAATTTCACTTGCAATATATACGTATACACATATATATATCATATAATACAGTACCAAATCCCCACCACCTGTGATATCTCATGTTAACAGAGAATAAAATAGAATTAAAAATGCAAGCATAGCCTTGAGTCAAATTTTCAAGTCAGTCCTACCCCTAGTTTCTATAGCTATCCTCTGTTTCCTCTCTCACATCCTTTGGAACAGGTGTCCTAGCTGTTGATTACCTTTTATTCTATTGAAAGGCACTGGGGAATCTAACCACCTATTCTTGAAACCTGAAGCAGACTTTCAAATGCCCTGCTGTTGCCCTTATTGTTTTCTCTTGGTCTTTCGCTGTTCTATATATAATCTTCAGTTTAAAGTATCTATAGATAATTTTCTGTCTAAACCAGCTTTTGTCCTATGTTTTATTCCCTAATATAAACTGTTTGATGAACATCTGATAATGGTGTTTCCTTAAAAAACTCCATGGCAAAAATGCAAGTCCTGCCAAGAAAGCACTACTTCAAGAAGCATGATTTATATAGACTTCCTCCTAAGTCCTTCCTAATAAACAGACAAGAACCAACATATAGGTAATTTCTAGTGCATTGCTCTAAGCAAGCCTAGAAGGATGTCTCTATAAAACCATGGGAAACAAACGGGAAAATCCAGTCTGGTGACTGGTTGCCAGTCTGTCTGGTAGTGCCAAAAAGAAGACTGCATCATCTCTCCTTCTGCAAACAGAAATAGTTTGTAATAATCTCACGCTATTTATATTTCATTCTTACCTCAGTCTGCACCAAGTAGTTCCTTTGGGTACGTATGTGTTTTAAGAATCCAAATATGTTGATTGTCCCTTCATGCTGAATTTGCTGCAGCATGCTGTCTAACACTATGTATGTGCCTGTCCTTCCAACGCCAGCACTATAAAACAAAAAAATAGTCTTGAGCCTGAAGTAAAACACTAATGAAAAGAACTGGTACTTACACATAGCTTTTTCAACAAACTGCTGCGTAGGGAAGATTTTCCTTTACAAATGAATTTATTTTGCTCTATAGATACTTTGTGAAAACTTCAAGGCTGATAATAATATTTTTCACTGTGCAAGAATAGGTCTAAAGATAATTTTTTCAAATGATGTTTAAACTATTGGTTGAAATAGAATGAAGCGGTTTCCTGCAGGTCTGCAATTTTCAAGCTTCTGATATTCCTTAGGATACTTTGTCAAGTATACCTAGAAAGTGTGGCATATGTCAGCATTTGGGCACAGTTAATGTGCTCAAATTCTTCTATGCTGAAACCACAATTTAAAAGGAAAGTTGCATTATGCCTCCCATTACAAATAAAGGAGATTTCAAAGATCTGGACTGAAGAAAACCCCAGAAAATGGAAGAGCTACTGAGTATATCTGTAAAAGGATAAAGCCTAAGTCCTATCCAGATACAGCTAAGAGATGGCAAGTAATGGTTTAAAGTCTTCTTAAAAAGGTAAAATGGAAAAGAAAAGGTTAATAAACTTATTCCTGTTATGAACTCTGATTGATTTAGCATAAAACCAGCTTGTAAGATTAAAACCCACCTTTTACTTTCATAAAATATCTGGGTAGGAAGTACAAGGTCAAGAGGTCAGTTTTTGTGATCTATTAATATGTGGGAATTAGTCAATTGTAATTCCCCTCTAAGTTATGAATGAATGTTACGTATACTGGTACACGTAACTTGAGAGCAGCACTGTGCTGAGTCTGCATGGTTCCTTACAGGCAGATCCGAGCTCACTCCATACATGCTAATTCAATCATCTCATTTCTTCCACAGATGCAGCACATAGCATAGGTAGGGTGAGCTCAAATTGCAGTATTGAACTGTCTAAATAAACATTATATGAAACTGGAAGGTCCAGGTTATTAATACACTGTTAGGCACAAAGAAGATTACCAGATATCATCCGTACTTGTTATGAAAGACAAAACATGGAGAGCACTAAAACATAAAAATAGCTAAAATAAGTTTAATGAAGCTCATCATCTGTATCTTCAATAGAGCCTGTAAAGATAAATAAAAGTTACATTTCTAACATGAGATCACTCCTTTGGAATTCCATAGTGCATGGGATCAGGTTAGCTAAAAGCTGTACAGACGGAGATGAATTACACCTATGACCCAGTGGAGAGGTCTGACTGAAGCCACACAACTTACCAATGTTCATTTTTTAAAAACTCAATTTAATTGACTCATAATGTATTGCTGATCTCTCAGCAATCTCAGACTTGACATTTTGGGCTATTTTAAATTTCACATGAAAAAGCAGGATGTAGATAGCAGCAGAACAACAAAATGTGGAATTTTCATTTTCCAAGCTAAAAACAGATTTGTCAGATTAGATCATACCACAAATAAAATATCTTCATTTGCAGCATTTGTGAGGAGACTTTACCTGTTGGCTTCCTCAGAGTCAGCTCCAGAAGGACAGAATTCATGAGGAGGTTCTCTTTCCAAATGTTCCATCAAAGGTGAGGTACTACAGTGGAAAACCAGAACCTGCTTATATATTTTACAATAACCTGGTCCTTCACGGGCATTGTGAAGTCATTCCAGGACCTACAAACCCTTTTTAACCAATTCTCCCTGAGCTTCCAGTTTTAGTGAGCACTGACAGGACACCTGCCTGCACACTGCAGCACATGCAGACCTCAAACCATTCCCCAGAATGCTCCTCCAGTGACTGCTACAGCCCAAAGTAATGTTAAAAACAGCAGAGTTGTAGTTCAGACAGGAATACAGTGAGTCTTCTCTTGTGGACAGAGCTCCTCTTAGGATTACAGACTATCCCTGCACCAAAGAAAGCATGAGCCAGAAGCATCCTAACAATGTATTTCCAGAAAGGTAACAATTTTTGCTATATATGTATCTGGTAAGCTTATAGCATTCAAGAGAGTAGTATAGAAATGTGCAAAAAAGTAAAAGCATTTTTGCAAAAAAAAAAAAAAGAATACAGTGCAGAGCAGCCTCATCTTGTTTACAGAGATTTATAGAAGTGGCACAGACAGTTGATTAGTTGGCCTTACCAAGGAGAAAAATATCAGCTAAGAAATTAATCTTATTCCATCAGGAATTGCTAAATGCGAGAGTGAAATTTGCTTAGCCAACCACTGAAAAATTCTTTTTTTCTGCAAAACAAAAGTGGAGTGAACCTTACAGCAGTAAGAACCACACCTGCAATGAACCACAACAGGCCCGATGGCGTGGCGCTTTGCATGTGACGCCTTCCGCACAAAGGTGAGAACAGGCAATGTATATTCTGGAACACCCATGTCAGGCCACTGGGTATAATGGTACTGAGTTACTACACGTCCACTAGACCTCCCTTTCTGGGAACCCTGCAACAGAAAAATAATTCCATATGTAAGCAGCCCACATTGTCATAGTTTTATTTCCGTACCTGATAGTTGTTGAGCTAGAACTGTCCCTGTTTAGCTAAAAGCATGCCACCTGGCTCTGAATATTCCAGCTTTCAAAGAGAAGAGGAAGAGCTTATGCTTCTGTCCCATTAACTTGCCCACTGACTGGAAAAATGACCTGGCACTGTCCCTTAGAAAGCCACAGAGAAAGATTAAGAGCAATGGAGGGATAACAAACTACAGACGCTCTTAAGAGTCACCAGCTCTTTCTGTCACTCTGCTCCTCTGTTGGCTGAACAGAAGGAATAAGATTCACTTCACCCAGCTTCAGTGATCTACAAGGCAAATAGCCTTGTGTAGGCTGCTTTTCTAAGCTCCCTCCCTCAATGGCAACTCAGAGGCAGGGATGCGTTCAGAAAGTAGGTCATCTCATTCAAATATTGTTTCCTAAAATAGGCAGAATAAATTCATTGATAGTAAATGCTGCATGTTATGTATTAATTATACAGGGAAAGTGAGAGAATAAATGCCTCAGACATTTATGTGGCCAGAATAAATTTAGTTTTCAGAATCCCCCTCAAAGTAACCAACATCACAGTGCTGAGCTGAGAGCATGCTGATTCTGATTACAATAAAACAAGGTCTGGATTCACCTGTCATTAAAAAGGAAAATGGAGAGCTGAGGTAGATAATTCAATTCATACAAGATTTTCTTCCAGCTGCTCTCTTTCTGCAAATGTATCATCCTGCTCACCAGGCAGGCAAAGTCCACATCAGCTCTACAGTGCTTTTTCCCTGATGGTCCTACATCACACCAGTACTACAGGCCAGTGTCTTTTCAGTTTGTTGATCTCATCAAATTAACTGAAGTGGACAAGCAACTTGGCTAGCTGAGACCTACAGAACTCAGCTTTACATAGACAGCAGCAAAGAGCTGCCAACTTCCTTAAAAAGATTCTGAGCATCTTTTAACATTTCCTTTTGCCCACTTATGTTTTCAGAATGCCACAAACCTTTTTGATTTTGGTGTTTCTAAGAGTAAAATTCCTCACAGTGTAATAGGCAAGTACATGAACACTCTTCTGAGTAACCAAGAAGTTCCCATATTCTTCACTGCCTTCGGCAGGCCAGTACTGGTCACATTTTCTCTGTTAGAAAGCAAATGAAAACCAGAGAAAAAGAAAACAAAATGTCAAACTAGTAAACTGAAATGTTCCAATTTAAGTCAAGCATAGTCAAGCACAAAACCATATAGGGACTCTCAATATACCCAGTTTATAGTAGACACAATCTTCTGTACAGAACAAATAACATTATTTTGTGTTGTAAAGAGAGATGGCCGTGCAAAGATGCTCTTTATTTGGAATACTCAAAAAAAGAGAGGTTTAAATCATACTATCAGAATTAAAGAGCTCTAATAATGTGGAACTTGCCATTCTATAGGCACTCTAAAAACTAAAGAAACTAACATGATCTGTAGGAAAACCAGGAAGACATTCAAGTCAGTAGAATTGTATGTGGTTTTTGATTAGTTTATAGTATGGGCAGAGTATATATCTATATGATCAGCAAGGCTGAGAGTGAGCCTCTGTATGATCAGAATATAGAGTAGAGCTCTGTGATGTCCAGTGTTTTGGTTGAGTAGTTATATAGAAGAGTGCATGTTTATTGCATGCTGTTATAAATGAAGTGGTACTCTTGAGTGCAGCCCTTGTTCTGCAATTGCTGTCTGTATCATCTGATAGATGCTTTATAAGTTGTATGACAAGATTTACATTCATTTTAGGCATTGCTGCCAGTGTTTGGCAACTGTGATGCAATGTCTCCTAATGTGATCCCAAGGTACTTCCATCACATGACCAGAGGAACACACACCTCGTGATGGGGTTTGACCTCATTTTGTCTCACTGGACAAACATGTATCTAGTCATGTAGTAGGAAAGCAACTGTGGGTCCCACGGGATGTTAACAGGGAGCTGCTAGTGAACATCCAGAAAAGTTCACCTGCACTATGTTCTTCTTCTTTCCAGGATCTTTCTCAGAAACCCTGAGAAAGAGAACTATGGCAAGCCGATTGCTAGCAAACGTGGGACAAGGTTCCACAGTCTGTCCACTCATATATAAGAAAAGTCTTTTTTCAGTATAAGACTTTTTTTTTTTTAGTTAAAACATGGTATTTTCAAGGAGATATTGAATCTATTCTTAAGTTTCATTCTACAAATCCTCAACTTTATACTTCTATAGCCAATCCTAACACAAGCAACTACTACAAACTATTGCTCTTTGCTCAATAAATGCCTAAATAAGTTTTTTTAAAGAGAGTCAGGAGTTTGCTACAGGTAAATCTATCAACATCAGATAAATAAATAACAGACAAAGGTACTTATACCCTTCCTTTCTCAACGAGATTAGTTATCATCACAATAACTTCTACGTTATGTTCCCATATCATTCTCCAGAAATCTTCTGCTGTCGATTTTAGTGGCCCTTGAGCTGCAATGTAGGCTTTTGGCTTGTTGTAGCCCTAAATTGAAATATAACAAACGTCACTTGTCAAATCACTGTCCATGAGCAAAAGGAGGTTGGGAGGAGTACATGACATTTTATATATCTATTTTTAAAGACTCACAAAAGCTTTTAAGCACTTTTAAATTTGTAACTATCCAAATCACAGAAACTCTGTGGTACCAGATGACATATGAATACAACTGCTATGTCAATGTTTATCATTCCAACAAATAGGATACACACGTTCAAGTTCCCATGTTCTGGCAGAATGTCGACATGATAATGATTATGAGACATCTGTTACGATAGTGGTTTAAAAAAATGAATCAAGACCATTAACATGTAAATAACTAGGTAATGAAAACTGGTAATGGTGCCTTGGTGAGGCTCTTAGCCAAATAGCATCTTCTCATGAGATTATCTCAGACAGAAGAATTAACCACTCAGATGAAAAATACTTCTAAAATGACTCAGTGACAGAACATTTTTTGTTTCAAAATGCCCTTAACTAAGCTGCAGCTGCTACAATATCAAGATGGATTCAAAAAAGATTTGGAGTTTTACCTATGCTTTAACTTTCTAGGCTTAACTTGGACCATGAAAATTTTTTTTAATAAAATCTGTAGCATTGTGATCCTTTTAAAAAATTAAATCTATTCATCTCCATAGATAATTTTCTTACAGAAAAGTCTAACAAATGAATAGGCCGGCAGACAGAAAAAGACACTTACATCGACGTAGTTGGCATTAATGTAATCAGTCAGTTTTCCATCCTTTTCTGCAAGCTGGGCTAATTTAACCCTAGTATGATCATCTGTAGTAAAACAAGGGAGAAAATAAGCAGTTTCTATAAGAATTATATTCTTTCTGCAAGAAATGCCCTTAAAAATATTGAAATATATTTTACAATACATAAGATTAATACAGGAACAATCACACATGCAAACATCCTCTGCTTAGGTATGAATCAGATTCAAAATTCTAGTTATAGAAAAATAAACTATTAATCCAAAGTTTGAAGGGATTCATAATTTAGTGGCCTGAACACCAGCACCTTGGTCATTTTAGGCACTGTGATGTATTTCCCCTACAGCCTCTATCTGCTACCTATGGAGGTGTGTGGGTGTTTCCTAAGTCCTGTGTCATGACTGCCAAATCTCCAGAGTAGGATGTCTCAAAATGACAGCAGGCACCAGTATTGAGGAACAATAATTCCAAGTTAAAAGAGCGGACACTGAAGAACAATGGGACCTTGAAGAAACACTGGTCAGCTGAAGAACTTCAGCAGTGGCAACTTCAGGGCGAGCTGAAACTTTCTGCAGCCTGCACTGATCGTAAGAACCAGACTTCAGTCAGTTACAGAGGACAATTCTTGCTGCTTCAGCTGCCCTAAGCTCCCTACGCACTGCCCTTTGCTAAAAAAGTTGCTGGGCTGGCACCTTTTGTACGATCTGCTACAAACACAGTGGCAGAGAGAATCCCTGACATTTTGTCCATCTAGAGGTATCTTTAGCAAGGTGGAATGGAATTTCTTGCTGCTGATTTACATTGCCTTCTGCCGAATGCTGAACATAGATTTAATTTAGAGCTTCTTGTAATCAGAACAAAGTTGAAATGCTGTAAAGAGTTAAAACGAATGTTTTGAGCCACCAAAATAATCAAAAACCCAGAGGCAAAAGCTTCAAAGAGAGATTAACAAAACTGAGAAGAAAAATCTGGGAGAGTGATGCAATAGTGTGCTGGCTAATGAAGCTGTTCTATTCCACTGTTGCAGGGCACAATACAACATAAACCCAGTACATTTATGTTTATATGTGTCAGTAAATATATCCAGGGATTGTGTAGATCCTAGAGAGGATAAATCATCATTATTCTAGATCAAAGATGGATTAATTCTGGTAATCAAAATACAGCTTCTTTGGCTTCATAATGGCATTATAATGAAACCTCCCAACTTCCTTTGGGTCATTGCAGAAGACAAAAATATGTCTTGAAAAACATGCTGTGGTGGGGGGAAACAGTTTTCCCCCCTGAAGTTATAAAATGGTAAAACCCCAGGGGGTGGTGACCCTTGAAGTTTTGAGGTTTTATCCAATGAGCGCTTCTGCAAAATATAAACATATCACAAGCAAACGGAAGAGAAGCTTAGTTGTAGTTGGTAGTAGAAGTGGTAGCCATGTTGTGAATGCCACGAGTAAGGGGTTCGGAACCCTTTGGGGCTTTTGGGCCCCCCTCGGCCCCGGGTGGGGGCTGCAGGGACTTGGAACAGCGTAATGCTGGGCTAAGTACCTGTGGCTCAAAGCTAAAAAAGTTTTCTCCACTGTGAGTGAGCAGAGACAGAACAGCGGCAGAAGCAGCGTCCAGAGACTGTGGCTAAGAGCCAAAAGATAAGAAAGCAACAGTATGCAGCCAAGGAAGACACCGAGTTGTCTGAGAGAGCTGAGAGAGAGAGAGAGCGGCAGAGAGAGAGGATGTTCGGGTAAGAACTGAAATAAAAACCTCATACCCCTCTGAGACTTCCGAGAAAGGAGGGAGATGGACTCCGGCTTGAGAGGAGTCGTAGAGTGCTGCAGCACCGGAGAGGGAGGAGCTGAGAAGCTCAGGTGTCCTGCAGCTGGACTGGGACAGCCAGATGGAATGCGGAGGGGGTGACCTTGGCCCCCCTTGCTGCTGCTGCCAAGCCTAGCAGCCTGAGACAGAGCACAGGAGCTCTGGTAGAATTCCTGAGGCAAAGGCTTTCAACTGAAAGCTGCCCAAGATATTCTGACTCAAGGGTGAACCCCCTGAGGAAGGGACTTTCACGAAGATGCCCCTCCACTTCGTGATATGACCGTGGTGAAGCGAGTTTTGTCCCTGCTGTGCAGCCCACGGAGGAAGACCCTTGTTTGAAGATGGGTGGCTGAGGGGCTTGGATACCCCTCGTGTGTGCTGGCAGAGATCCAGCTGCTGCATGAGAAGAAGAGCGAAACAGATAAACCTGCTGCCTTAGAGACATTGCTGCTCTGAAGAAGGGATCTTTCCTTCTTCCCTCCTGGACTTTTATTTGGAGGGGAGAAGAGATTTGATCCATTGTAAATACTTATGTCATGGTAGAGATAATTAAGACTGTAAATAATGTATTGTAGTATTTATTTGTATAGTCATTGTAATATATTCCCTTTCCCCCATTTTGAGTCTCGTGCGGTTGTCTGGAAAAAAAACCATCTCACATTGAGTTGAGATGTGGGAGGGGGTTTGAAGATAGGGAATTGGATTTTTGGGGCTCTCAAACCATGACACATGCTCATCAAAGTAGAAGAATGTCAGAGGACTAACCTGAAGAGATGTGAAATCTCATACTACTCCTCTCCAAGCATTTTGTTAAAGAGGAGCTGGAGAATCACAGAATCATAGAATCAAACGGGTTGGAAAAGACCTCCAAGATCATCGAGTCCAACCTTTGATCTAACACTGCCGTGGTTACTAGACCATGGCACTAAGTGCCACATCCAGTCTCATCTTAAATACCTCCAGGGACAGTGAATCCACCACCTCCCTGGGCAGCCCATTCCAATGTCTGATTACTCTTGCTGTAAAAAATTTCTTCCTAATATCTAACCTAAACCTCCCCTGGCAGAGCTTAAGACCGTGTCTTCTTGTCCTACTGCTGGTTGCCTGGGAGAAGAGACCAGTGCCCACCTGGCTACAACCTCCTTTCAGGGAGTTGTAGAGAGTGATGAGGTCTCCTCTGAGCCTCCTCTTCTACAGGCTAAACAACTCCAGCTTCCTCAGCCTCTCCTCATAGGACTTGTGCTCCAGTCCCTTTACCAGCCTCATTGCTCTTCTCTGGACGTGCTCCAGCACCTCAATATCCTTCCTGAACTGAGGGGTCCAGAACTGGATACAGCACTCCAGGTGTGGCCTCCCCAGTACTGAGTACAGGGGAAGAATCACTTCCCTGGTCCTGCTGGCCACACTGTTCCTGATCCAGGCCAGGATGCCATTGGCCTTCTTGGCCACCTGGGCACACTGCTGGCTCATGTTCAGCTTCTTGTTAATCCAAACTTCCAGGTCCCTTTCTGCCTGGCTGCTCTCCAGCCACTCTGTCCCCAGCCTGTAGCGCTGCATGGGGTTGTTGTGGCCAAAGTGCAGGACCTGGCACTTGGTCTTGTTGAACCTCATCCTGTTGGAATCAGACCATCTCTCCAGCTTGTCCAGGTCCCTCTGCAGAGCCCTCCTGCCTTCCAGCAGATCAACACTCCCCCCCCCCAGCTTGGTGTTATCTGCAAATCTGCTAATGGTGGACTCAATCCCCTCATCCAGATCATCAATAAAGATATTAAATAGAATTGGACTCAACAGTGATCCCAGGGGGGCACCACTAGTGACTGGATGCAGCATCATTCCCCACCACTCTCTGGGCCCAGCCAGTTTCTAAACCAGCAGAGTGTGCCCCTGTCCAAGCTGTGGGCTACCAGCTTTTCCAGGAGGATGCTATGGGAGATGATGCCAAAGGCTTTGCTGAAGTCCACACAGACCACATCCACAGCCTTCCCCTCATCCACCAGATGGGTCATCTGATCATAAAAGGAGATCAGGTTGGTGTGACAGGACCTGGCCTTCCTAAACCCATACTGGCTGGGTCTGATCCCTTGTCCATCCTGTAGGTGTTGTGGGGTTGCACTGAGGATGATCTGCTCCATAACCTTGCCAGGCACTGAGGTCAGGCTGACAGGCCTGTAGCTTCCTGGGTCCTCCTTGCAGCCCTTTTTGTGGATCGGTGTGATATTTGCCAACTTCGAATCATCTGGGACCTCCCCAGTGAGCCAGGACTGTTGATAGATGATGGAGAGTGGCCTGGCGAGCTCTTCCACCAGCTCCTTCATCACCCTAGGATGGATCCCATCTGGTCCCATAGACTTGTGAGGATCCAACTGGCTCAGCAGGTTGCTGACTGTTTCCTCCTGGATTACAGGGGGGCTATACGGCTTCCTGTCTCTGTCTACCAGCTCCGGAGGCCACTTGTCCTGAGGACAACCTGTCTTACTGTTGAAAACTGAGGCAAAGAAGGTGTTAAGTACCTCAGCCTTTTCCTCATCTTTGGTGATTATGTTCCCCCCCATGTCCATCAAAGAATGGAGGTTATCCCTAACAGAAGTGGCTAGATTGAGTTCAAATTGTGCCTTTGTCTCTCTAATTTTCTTTCTACATGACCTAACTATATTCCTAAACTCTTCATGAGTAGCCAACCCTTTTTTCCATAGTCAGTAAGCTCTCTTTTTTCCCCTAATTTCCTTCAAAATCTCCCTGTTCAGCCAGGCTGGCCATCTTCCCCACCGGCTTGCCTTTCAGCACACTGAGACAGCCTGCTCCTGTGCATTCAAGACTTCCTTCTTGAAGCATGTCCATCCCTCCTGGACCCCTTTGTTTTCAAGGGCTGTTTCCCAAGGTACCCTCTGAACCAGTTTTCTGAGTAGGCCAAAATCTGCCCTCTGGAAGTCCAGGGCAGAAGTTTTATTGATGGCCCTCTTTGCATCCCTGAACATTGAAAACTATTATTTCATGGTCACTGTGCCCCAGATGGCCTCTGACTATCACATCTCCCACCAGCCCCTCTCTGTGAACAGCAGGTCTAGTGGGGCCCCATCCCTGGTAGGCTCATTTACCAACTGGTACAGGAAATTATCTTCTATACACTCTAGGAATCTCCTAGACTGCCTCTTCTCTGCTTTCAGTGTAGAGGTATTTTTACTCCCTTCAAAAACATATAAACCTATACGTGCCTATAATTATTTCTTAAACAAAACACCAAATGATGCCTTTACTTACAAGCAACAATGTTTATGTATCGATTCTTATTCTTGTTGTCAGGGTGATTAGAGCTGTCTGATGTAATACCTAGATCTACAGTACAGCTCTGGATTTCCTGAAAAAAATTATGTTATATTTTAGTAAGTACTAAGATTCATAAAACGTCTTAAAATACAGTAAGTAATCATGAAAAGAACCACAACCTTATACCCAATTATCTATGATATTTTACAACTACTTCATTGCTAAAAAAAAAAAAAATGCAGTGAAATAATTCCTTACCTGATAAAACTCTTTCAGTGTCTAATGAGGGAATGAATGCAAAAAAAGTAAAAAAAATCAAATTCCACAGCACAGAACAAATGGATAAGTGTTTATATAAATTACAATTACTATATGGAAAACAGTTATGGTCATGCAATATATATCTCCATAATAACAACAAAACTGAATATTTTTACATAACTCCTAAAGGAAACGAGGTAATTTCCAGTTAAAATACTGGCATCTGTTTTCCTATCTTTAGCTTTAATGTTAGACCTTAGGCCAGTGAAAGCTTATACATATGAGTAACATCACAGACTTTAGCCAGATTATCTATATCTTTAACTTTCACTGGATTTTTTTCTTGGTCCTTATAAGTGCGTTAGTTTCTCTGTGGAATGCTTTTGCTCTCCACATTCAGCTGCAAAACCTTCACTGAAGTAGGACTGTGTGCCACTCTGTCAGCCTCATGGCACTCTGGTGAAGGACAGAGTTACAGCCCTCACTCAGGCTGCCAGCAGTCTCACAATGAAGCCAACAATGTTATAAAGATAGAGAAAGGTTTGAAAAGACAGGCACAAAGTCTGCAAGACTAACAAAATTATTTTATTTTATTTATTACTTTAGATGACAGGAAACTCAAGCATTTATAAGGTCCACATTGTTAAGTAGGAAATAAGTTGTCATTGCTAAAAGTACTATAATAAGGTTTCCCAACACTTTTGATAATTCCTTTTAATATAAATCACCTTCACCTATTTAAATATAGACATGAAAAATGGTTACAAGTATAAAAATTAGATTTTAAATCAGTTGTTTTATAGTAATATAAAAAAAAATTTAAAAAACCCCAAAACCTGAACGACCCCTGTACTCTTCAAATGTATGTTAACTCTGCAAAGACAATGACTGTATTTCAGTTTTTCCCAATCTTCTAAGTTCTCCATCAGTACAGAAAAGAACAGGACACTAATTCTGGAGTACTCTGTAAAGTCAAGAAGGATCTCCAAGATGGTTAAGATTAGCATGAAATACTCCAGATAGGGCAGCTGTAGTTCAGTGAGGTGTAGCATATTTGGTCTTTGGATCACTGCTGTAATTTAGGAAAAGTACAACTGTAGGAAAAGATCAATTTAAGACAAACAGTCTGATTTCTGTATTGCTGTACTCACTAATGGTGAAAGAGCTTTGGAACCATTGTATTTACACACTGTCCTTCAACATCTGCTCTTACTAATAGCCAGTCTGGCTGGAGTCCAGTCCCGCCAGTGCATATGCACATGTGTAATATATGAATATTGAACTGGACATTCACAAGTATTTACAAGTTTGGTCCAACAATCAAATGGATGTTCTGAATGTTAAATGAATTGAAGAAGAAATGTTGAAGTAGGTTATGTGAACGACATGGAATTTTTGGTCCATTAGATCACAATACATTGGCTGGAGAAACAAAAGCAAAATCAAATGATGCAAAACTATGAATTGTTTACTTTCATTATTGTTTTTGCAGCAGGAATATTACAATCATATTTAAATTAATATAGATCAATTAAAAATTTATTTTCCATTCCAACTGACTGATTTGCTTAAAAATCTCTTGTAAAAATGTTAATATCTTTAATTAAAGTATTTGGGGGTTTAATGTTTATGTGAATTAAGTAAGAACATATCTATCTTTAAATTGATTGCAATACACACAAATGTGAAAAAAAGATGAAGTTCATTAGTTACATATGGTGATAATAACATTATATGATTAAAGCATATGTTTCAACATTTTGAAATACCTTTTATGAACTATATACTTTGGAAAAGGAACTGTAAATCTTTTACTACCACATATGAAGACTACATTAGCTCCCCTGTTAATCAGAAGTCTTGCCACGTGTACTCATTATTACTTCCATTTTATTTTGCCTGTAAATGGAGCAAGCAAATGTGGGTAGCTTCTGCAAAATTAAATTTTCATTAGTATTGGCAAAGCTTTAGATCTACCACTGTATCTGATAAGTCATATACATTGCATTATCTTTGCACAGTTTATTCACACAATCATTTAGTATTTTATCACAGTAATAAATATTGCCATTTTCATTCCAGTCCTGTTAGCTTTTATAAATCTCCCTAGTCTTTATGCATGAACTCCTTACTGGGCTCACAGCACTTGTATTTACATGCATTCCTGAAATTGGTGCCCAAGTCAGAATGTAATCCCTTGTTTTTTGTTTCCAGGCAATTAAACTTAACATTATCTGTATGTACTAAGAAGAAAGATGACGTCATAGAGCCATACCTCAAATTCTTCAGAAAAACCATTACTTGCATGTAAATCTGCAACATGTTTTGGAAAATGCTTTATTGGAATTGCTCCAACATCATCTTAGGGGTGGGAAAAGACAAAAAATATATTTATGAAGAATAAAAAGCTAGTGACATATAAAGAAGTTTATATGTAGGCAATCCACACAACATCCTGAAATAAAATTTTGGCATGAACTTTGGATATACAACTCCCACAAAAATTAAACATTCTTTAACATCATTAACATTTCTAAAATAGTTATCTAACACTTGTACATTTCTAAACAATTATTTAGGAAGAAAATAAAGAAAATGCCTTGCTAGATCTTGCTCTGTCTTTAAGCCCCCCAAATCAAGGTGCTGATTCTGCAAGACGCTGAGCTTGTCTGTAAATAGAAGAACACACAGAATTCCCTGTGAAGTCAAGGAGAAATGGGAAGATTATCTGTTTGCTACAAGATGTTCAAAGGGAGAATGTAGGAGTACAGCTCTGAATAATACTGATAAAGCAAGAATGAATGATTCGGCGGAGTTGTGTGGGTGTTTTATGCTGATTAGTGTTGCACTGGAATTCTGATCCAGTATATAGACTGGCCGCATAGTCCCAAGCCTACTAAATTAAAGCAGCATTATACCAGTAGTTTAATATTAACTGACATGTTTCATGTTTGCATTGGTACCCAAAGGAATCTTTTTTTTAATCTTTTACTGCATCAGCGACTACTTCCAGTCCAGAATTTCCCCCCCATTCTCCTCATGATTCTACAATTATTTATGAATAATAAGTCTGATCCTGGCAGTACTGACTGCAAATTTTCATACCAGGTCTTGTATTTCAAGATTTCAGTGGAAGATTTATGTTTAAGACTTTCTGGATACTCACAAAGAAAAGATCTACATTCTCAAGGAATAACCGTGATTCATGTAACTTTGGGGTTCTGATACTGAGTCTGAATTTTCCATCTGATATTTATATTTCAGGACATCTTCATTTTACTTTATACAAATATAGAAAAACACTCTTGTGTAGAACATTCATCAGAGATCATGCCAAAAATCTTTGGGACTTTTAATCTTCTCTTTCCTGCAAAGATGCCACGCAAACAAAGTCATCTGCTTGTTAATTATCTGTTAAAGGAGGATATTCTTTCACAGAGTGTTGGTTCTGAAGAATAATTTTGTTGTTTTGGTTTTTTTTGTTTTTTTTTAAAGCCTTTCATGGACTAAAAATATGTTTACTTCACAATCTGTAATTTCATCACTATTTCATATGAGAACAAAACATCAAAAACATTGAACAAGGACCTGTTATTTACATCAACCAATGTTCAGCATTTAGCCCACCTAATAGTTTTAGCTTTCAGTTACCAAGAATTTTTTGATTTGTAGTAAGATCCATCTGGTCTTCTACTTACATGACTGGACCCTAATAAAAAAGTGAATTTATCCAGTCAAGTCTAAGAGAAGCTGAACAACCATGTAGCATTATCTTCACACTTCAGAGATAAAATCTGGTATAAAGTGTTTATCCTAAAGATATGCAAACACAGAATCAGAAGGGTAGGCAAATGACCCTGAGTGAGGACAACATGGGAGAAAGAGATCTCAGGTTTTGTTTCATTGCCAGAGCTAATCTCCCAACTCAATCACTTCTGAACCAGGAATGTATTTTATATCTGGATGGCAGATACCACTTCAAACTACTTAGAGTTTGATAGTGGGTCCAAACACTACCCTGTAATTGATTATTATTTGAATGCATCTTTGAATTGTTCTGCAAAGTGCCATGGCATTTTCTGTGAATAACTGATCTCCTCTCTCTGCCAATGAAACCCTTCAAAAGAAAGACTTAATATATAATGAGATCTGTGGAGTGTGCTTTTGGTCATATCCATAGGAATTAAACTTAGCAGTTACAAAATGCTCTTCCTGCCTACACTCTTTGAAGGTATTATGTCGCAGTTAAACTCAATTGTAAAATTACACTGCTGCAACACTTGTACAATAGAAAACTCAAAACCTGCTCACTTGACATCTGTTGCATGCAAAATAGAATGAACTATTTCCTCGGTGCTTGCAGCTTTTTCCATAAAATGTTTTATGTATCTTCAGTCACTTGGCAAAACTTTTCTCTTTAATATTTATCAGCATTTCAGAAGGAAAACCTCCAGCTTCAAAACACATATTTTAAGAACTCAGAACTCATTTAGTAAAAGGTTATGCAACTCCTAACAGTGGCAATCAATACAAAAGGCATTTAAAGATAATTTAAAGATGTCTACAATTCAGTTACAATAGAAGCCTAATGTTTGGGATTTATTTAATTAAGTGTGTTTACTAGTTATCTACCCAAGGGCTGATTTTCTTCCCTTATTCATTCCATGGGAATATATTGCCTTGTGTAATAACAGTTTGTAAAAACATTACTTGTGGAACAAGATATCCTTGTCTCACAGGTGAAAATGTGGCTTAGGATCTGCTTCAGAATTAATCTATTTAGAGTACTTTCATTCTACACAGATTGAAAAAGCTGGGAGGGCTGCATGTGCTTCTCTGATACCCTTTCAGGAGGAAGGAAAAGACAGAATTTCTCCAAATAAATGTGGTGGATATAGAACCAGAAGACACCAATAAGGTTCTGAAATTCTGTACCATTTTTATGAAAGGATCCCAGAGAACTTTACGATAGTAACTATTCTAGTAAAATACATAAGTTTAAGAACACATAATTGAAATGAAATGCAGACAGATGAGACATATGCTCATCTTGCTGGTAAAAAGAATAGGAAATGTTCTATACAATGGTGACAAATCCAATTAAAGGCAGAAATATAGCAGAATATGTTGCTCCATCTTGAGACAGTGAACTAGAGCTATTTAGCATAGCTCAGATGGCTACACTAACAGCAGCCACTCTAGTGAGGTTACACCTCAAATGGCCAGAAGGCACAGCATATCTTTGAGACAACTCTGTAAGGTGAAAATATTTCTCTTCTCTGTTACCTACAGGAGAGAGTATTAGGAACACTAGTCTCTGCTGACATCAAGTGCACCTGTGTTTACACAGATTTGTACAACAGGCTACAAATCTCTGGTTTACGGATGTTACAGCACGTAAAGAATTCATATTGACACATATAAAACAGTATCTTCCGACAGCTAACACCAATCCACAGAGTGGTTGCCAGAAATACCTGAGACTGGGAAGATTGGAGCTGGGGGAGCAGAAATCACTCGAGGTGATGTATTATCTTCTAAATAAAAGTGAGCAGTCTGGAAACATTTCCTGGAGGGGAAGAAACATAAATAAATATTGCAAAACAAACAAACAAACAAACCAAACAAAAAAACCCAACAAAACATTATCTAAGATCTTTTGGAATTCTGGCATTATTGAATCAGAAAGAAAAATCTTGGTTTTGAAAACCATTTTTCATTGAGTGTCAAATATTACTGCTACAATATAAATATTCCCCCAGCACACCACCAAATTATACATACAACTTGATGATACATTACCTCAGTATAATACATAGTTCATGCAACTGTACCTATACCAGAGGCAGAGGATAGAGCACGCATCAGACATAGTGACAGCTGAAAGAGGAACTCTGCATCAGGAGCTACTGTAGATGCTGTGCAATTCCAAGTACAAAAAAATGCTACTGTCTTCCTGGTTTATTCAAATTCCCCCACACAATTACTGTTCCCTTTTACGTGATTATGCTAGCCTGAAGATGGAGCAGTGTATGAGATCAGTCATGGTAACTAATTGACAGATCCTACTGCAGATATGGAAATGCAGTAAAAGACAACGTGCCCTGTAACAGCTTAACAGTGGCCCTAGAACTACTATGACTGGGGCTAAACGTTATTTTCATAATGTAATCGCAACACCGAGGGAACTTTAACCAAGGAGGACTTCCCAAAGTTGACAGACAGAAACAGGGGAATTTCTAACTCCAGGAGATGCCGGCTTTGTTGCAAAAACATTGAAGTATGAATACAAATGGAATCAACTTCAACTATGACCCACAATGTTATTTGTATCTGTGCTGTAATCCAGATGCGAAGATAATAGGAATAACATCTGTTAACAGTCCAAGCTATTCAAGGGAATGAGTAATCAACTGCTGCTGTAAGCTTTGCAAAGCCTCTTTAATTAAAAAATCTCCATATGATTAGACATACTAATAACAATTTTTACTTTGGGTCACTTAATCTTTTTGAAATATTATTCACTAATCATTAAATTTAAAAAGAAATATATGCATAACAAAAATATTAATCTCATTTTATATTTATGAGATTCTGCTTCTTCAAAGCTGAAGCTGTTGTATGATTGCTACTTTGTGTAATCATTGTGATTTTTAATTCTGTACCATTCCTATATCATTGCAGTGATATAATTGTTATAAAAAACCATAAATTTTGAAGATACTTTGAAAAATAGATAGGGAATATGTGGCTGTTGTAATCCTTTTCAGAACATTAATGAAGATAATAAAGACTTTGGTAAGTTTATTTGAATTAAGCCTCTGGGAAACATGCCCATAATCTCAGAAATTGTTGGGAATTTTCGATCTGTGTACAATACAGATTCTCTTAAAACACAAAAAAAAGTGGACAGCTAAATCAAAGGGAAAACTGTGGCACACAAAACAGTTCTGGTGATTCACAGGACAAATTAATTTGAAACTAGAATCCTCTCAAAGCATATTTGTGATGTTTACAGAGAAGCTTTGGCTTTGCATGAGAAGTTTGGAGCAATGCTATCTGTTACGTAGCTGGTTTTACTTAGAAATGGCAATTTTGGATGCAGACCAAGAAGACATTCAGGATGTGCCTGGGAACACCTTTCTAATTTTTAAAGAGTCTACCACCTTACAGTTAGTTAGTGGCTGGTGAGGTGAGAGAAGCTGTCTCACTGCTAGCATAAGACTCAAGAGTTAGTCTCAGGACTGTGTGTGAACGTCCAAAATGTAGGCAAGTGCCAAAGTACTTTAAATCATCAAACACTTTGGAAAGTCCGGCTCTGCCTGCTGGGCACAGCGAATGCTGTATTATGCTTATCAAAAACAGCACCAACCAAACATGCCAACCAGCCTGATGCTAAAGCTCCAAACCCAAAAAGTGTCTTTCCCCAAATATCTACTGCTTGTGAACAATGATCATACCTAAAGTTTATGGACTAACATTACAGAGTTTTGTCACCTCCTTGCTTGAGAAAAGATTGAGCTATAAAGAATTTAATTAGCATAATTGCTTTCACATCTAAAGTAGTACTTAAAATGTCCCCATAATATGCCATACACTCATTATCTGTCACTGAACCAATGTATTTTTAATCTTTAACAAGTTAATTGTGGCTGAAAATAAATTACACCCTTAGCACATTTGAGAGACAAATTCATAGCAGTTGACTTAACCTGTAATAAGACTCACAAATAGGCACTCCATCTGCTTCTGCATCAGCAGTGAAAGCCTTCATGATTAAACCTAATGCTAATATCCACATATCGTTAATTATCACTTGTTGTTAATGAAAAAAGTGATGACTATTTCAAACTTCCAGACAAAGGTCCCATCACTCAATGTTAAACTGATTATTTAATTTACACCTTTCATCACAGAATTTAGATCTTCAACCTAAAACTGTAATTTGTAATTTAGACACAGCACTTCTTCGATCACACACTTTATATATGGAGATGGTGCTAAGCCATTGAATTAATTACAGTGTCTGGATCTGTATAGGAAGGCATGCAGCAGCAGCAGCAGCGCTTCTGTCTAACAGGAGGGACACTAGATCTGAATGAACACTTCAATGGGAACTTTGGACAAGACTAAGCCTCAGACTGTTTTTCCAGAATTTGGGGCCCTTGACCTTGGCTGAGGATATCTGCCTACGTCTCCCCCAGGGCAGGGATTGCTCAGAGCTTAACTGGGATTGTCACTGAGGCAGGCAAAGACCACGACACTGTGTGTGCATGGGAACGTGCATATGTGCATGGTGTTTGCTGCTGCACAGACTGAGGGAGTGGAACCTTGGAAGTCAAGAGGCATCTGTGAGAGGATGTGTTTGAACATCCCCTGCTTGCCAAGAATGGTCTTAGAGGCATAGTTACTTCTCTGAGAACTTCTTTTGAGCTCATAGGATTATGTACCAATAAGCATTCTGAAACACTTACTTGAATTTACGTTTAAAAGGTTCAGATAATTTAAAGATCTGATACAGTCAAAGGATCTTCAAATGGATCTTCAATGGATCCAATGATGCCAATTATTCAATTTTTAAATGGCTACAATTAATTTTTATGTGCTTGTCAGCTGGAATTTTGTCAGATTTTACAACACTTTTATTTATAATTTGATGTCACACTGTTGAAAAGTTTTTCCTTCATGGATGAATGAGTGTGGCCTTTGTGAATTTAAATCTGATTTTAGTGTTTCTCCATGTGCAAGTTTAACGATCCTTAGAGAGGGTTCTCAACTCCGTTCCCATAAACTTATCACAGGACTCAAGGCATCAGTTCAAATAATGAATAAGGAAATGAACATTTTCTGACAGTTCTGTTTCAAAGATATGGGGTAGTAGAGGAAAGTTAAAAGTTAAATGGCTACTCAGGGTGTTGTCTGCCATCAGGTTGGTAATTTCTGATGTGTTGCTGTCATGAGATGTGTAAGAGCCTGCATGACAGTCAGCTGATATTCAGTAAGTCTACAGATACAAATGTAGCTGGAAGGCATTAGCAGTTTGCAGTTAGTGTTATTACAGCCAGTCTTTTACTAGAGTTCATATATATTCATTGGAAAAGAATTTTGAATGGTACAACTCCCACAGCTGACAACTGCTACTGTTTTACTATTCTCCATGCTCTTCTTACAGTGACTATTATAAAACTGATCTGCACAAATACGATTAATTAAGAAAAATGGTAATAATGAAGCCATCCAGAATAGAACAGAGCAAGTACTTTCAAATACTCCTCCTGCATCTCTGCTGCAAAGACTCAGTCAAGTAGACAGATGCTGAGAAAGATGGATAAATTCTAGATTTGGACAGAAAATTCTCTCTAAAGCTTTAAAAAAAGTCTATCTGGACAACAAAACCACTAAACAGCAAAAGAATCTCCTTGTTTATTCCACTGTAATCTTACACATGCTGAAGAAATTAAAGGAAAATGAAATTACTTGAAAATTGCTTGAATCACAAAAGATACACAGAAACAGAGTAGTTCAAAATTCCATATTTTCCTACTGGCAATTAGTCAATCTTTAGACAATTTTGCCATTAGAAGTTTTCATCCCTGTTAGAGGAATTAATATTTTACCAAAAAAAGATTGAAACTGTGCCTAATGGCATAGGGAAGAGATTGAGGAATTTCCTCAAGTGCTGATTAACAATTTCATGTAAAAAAAACCCCCAAACCAAAACCCAAACAACAGATGGTATAGAATTATTTTTCTAATACAAGTCATTCAAGTGAAGAACAAAATAATTTTGCCTTTCTTTAACCTTGAGAGATCAGAACTTGTTGCTCTTTGTAGTTATTGGTTTTCTAAACCAAATAACACACCTTTTGCATATTCATATTAGGAGTTAATAGAGGAAACAATCCAAAGCATTATTCACTCAAATAACCAGCTAGGATATACCAATGCTTTTTTAACTGACTACTGTTGAAAAAGGAATATAGGATAACTTCTTGAAAACATAAAATTTTTATGAACTTTAATAAGTGAAAATAATTGGCCCAAATTAAAAAAAAATAAAAATAAAAGAGCATTACAGAAAGAAACATTGACAGCTTACCTCAACTATTTCAAAATAATATAAATCTAACCACAAAAAATATTACAGACTTTCTAGTAATATTTTCTAGGCTTAATAAAAACTGCATAGCAATGAAGTTAATATCTTGGTTTTTTCCAGGCTTTACAAAGAGATGAGGGTTTTGGTAACTTTGAAAGAGGGCTACCAAGTCCTACCTACAATACATACTTCATTCCCCTGAAATAAGAAATAGTTACTGGTGTTATCATAATGCCAAGAGAATTTTGTTGAGGATTATCAATAAAAGAGCTCCATATTTTATTTTGTAGTACACAAGAAATACAGAAAAGATTAAATTCCATTCAAGAAGATATTATTGCTAACGGGATTTTTATTTTATTCTGAAAGACCCGCTTTACAGAGTTGTTCATTCTCAGAAAAAGAATACAAAATGAACACCATGTTATTCAACAAAAACAAGCTTGTAATGTGTAGGATTACTAGAACTGAATTGTACAATCTGGGTCTTTAAATGGATGGTGTTCTTTGGCAAATAGAAGAGATTTCAAATACTCTTCAGCATCAGGGATGAGCCCCTTTGGAAGATAAATATGAACATTCATGTTGCATAACATGACAGACACGAAAAGATTCTCAGTATGCAAGTGGTTAGCTGGAAATCCTGGGATGGACAGTATAATTATCCAACTAGACATAAACTAAGAAATGAATTCTGCAATTATTATGACAATTAACTTCCACTTGGGAAAACAGAAGAAATATTTATCAAAATTCATTTTCAGAAGTGTCCTTAACCATGGTAATTGCTGACTGACTCACTAGCACACTTGCCTGGAAAAAAGGAAGCTTGAACTCAATTTCTCAAGCCTAGTCTGTTCAGGGATGGAATGTGTTCTGTCCCCATGTAGGACATATCCTGATAGGCCAACAGAAAACCAGTGTCAGGAGACTAGAAGAAAAGTCAGTAAGCACAACTTGGACATCACATACGGAGACTACAGTAGTCAGTAGCCTGGAAAGTGTAGTCTGAGTCTCTTTACTTGTTCTCCACCATTTTTTTGCATTTTAGATTAAGCAGGATTAGTGGGGGTTGGGGAAGAAGAAACAAGCTCTGGAAGCTTCTGTGAGATGTTTAAGTGTGTCTTCCCCCTTCTTTGTACAGTTCTTGTAAGAGCAAGGTCCTGTTTCTGACTGCTGGTTTCTGTGTTAGCACAGCAGAAGCAGCGACAGGATCAGGTTCCAGGCAATCACTGAACAGCAAAAACCTCCATAGCAGGAAGTTTTTGCAACTTATTTCCCTCTTCTGGTCCACCACTGCACTTCATCCCTGAGAATTTCCACACTTGAAAAAGTGCATGGGTTTTGAGATCTTAAGCATACATGTCCCTAGGAAGACTGGTTTTAGAACCAACAAAAGAGTGCCAAAGGCTGAGATCAGAGCCACATACTGCCAACTAGATTCCTGATATGCTTTTAGCTCAGGCCAACTTGCAGTATTTCACACATTCACTGATTACACACAGAGCATTTTCACACTCTCACTGATTATGTTATCATGACTTCTTATACTTAAAAATTCTCTTTATCCTATCTCTTTTTCTTACTGGCATATCAATTTATTAAGTTAGAAAAACATGTCCATGAAGAAACCTGAGTATGCGTCTGCACAAGAAACACATCCTTAGTTACCTGCTAAAAGGTTGGAAAGGCTGGTGGGCTAATTTTGGTTTGGCAGAATCACAAAGTAGAACAACTTTTTAATCACAGAACATCATAACAGCTACTCAGTAAGTGATCTTCAAAGAGTTACACTATTACAGTATCACTAAACTCTCCCATTTCTACCTTGTATATAATGTCAGGTACAGAAACTCCTACAGTAGCCTATGAATTGCTTATTCACACAGTCCTATTGAGGACCATGGATTCTCATTCTGAATTAACAACTACCTTTTTTAACTGTTAATGGATTGGAAAGATAGAAAAAAACCCATGCCATGCTATTTATTTTTCTTCTCCCTCTTGCTCTTCCCAGTGCTCTAAGTCACTTGGCTTCTAGGTGATTAATAATCATAAGCAATTGTTTACTAAAATCTCTCAATATGGAAATAAACTATTTGCAGTGGTTAAACCCTCTGCAAACAAAAAGAATTGCAGTTGAGTGCTTTGGACAGAAATCACCTTATTTTGTCTTCTTTATGGCACTGAAAGCAATATGAAGACATTGTGAGAGACGAGATCCAGTCTCTGTCCTATAAACCAGCTCAATAATGCCAGTCACAGTTTTCAAATCAGAGCTCTTTAGAATTGAAAAAAAGATCAACCAAAAAACAACTTACCTCCAGTAAATGAGAATACCCACAAGAACCACTAGACAGATAAAAGTCAGGGCTGATACGACCACAAGTGGTATAACTGTCTTCTTCTCTGATTCCAGACTCTCAGCTAGACCAATACGAGACTCATGGCTAATATTACTTGCCTCTGCAGTCAGAGAAAATTGAAACAGTCCATGTTTAAATTCTGAGAAATGCACAGCACGAGTGAATGTGTCTTATAATGAGCCTACTTAATACCACTTACCTCTGTTTTTTACTACATACTGCAGAAAGTGTATACATTTGCAAACCAGCTTACAGAAAATAAGCAGATAGAGGGTAAAGCAAAGTATTCAAGATCATGTGACTCAGCTTTCCATCAGTGGAGACTTCTTTTTGTAAGAATAGCAGATTGTTGTTAAAATATAGAAGAAAGTTTTTTATTTTCATCTGTTTATTAGCTGAAAGCCAAATGAGTTAAAAATCTGAAAATGTAATATTGGAATGTGTATTGGAATTGATATTAATCTGTCACTCATATAATGCAAATCACTTCTCTGGCTAATAGTTTAATAGGAAAATTTTCTTGCAATAGTTCTTATGTGCTTGCTGCATTGCAGTTAAGCTTTCTTTATTTTAAGCCATTGCCCATTCTGTAACTTGTCTTATAGATACATCCTGTTTCCTTTGAATCCAATTGGGGCACCTCCTCCCTCAACTATACTGGAGCCAGAATTAAAATTTCCTACCTCCATCTTTACAGGTGGAGGTAATAATCTGAATTATTATTTAGATATTGCTTAAATTTCATGTTTCTGTGAGCCATGTAATGCTCGTTGAACAAAATATTTGAGCATAGGAATCTGTATGAAAATTAAAACAATATATTCTATAATTTCATTAAAGAAGAAAACACAATGGTGGACGACATCAATCCTGCATTTTTAACTTTGGCCATACCTTAAAAAGTAAACATTTTAAAGCTGTGACTTTGACTAACAATAACTAATTTTTTTTTCAATCTGTGCAGTTTACTGTGATCTGTGACCATTATGTGAGTTAAAAGGCAGAAATAAGCACTTTTTGCACTTGTTAGGATTAAACCTCTGGAATGTTTTCTGCTTTTGTGAATAGTCCTAATTCAATGAATTTTCTGTATAGGAGCAGAATTTTGCTGTCTAGAAATAAGCTACACTGCATTGGGATTTCAAGAGACCAATTCGACAAGAATAAAAAGCTCTCACACAAAATGGAGGAAGGAATGGAGTTGGATTTGGAAAAAAAAAAAAAGACAGCAAGCAGTGTGTTCTAAATAGGATGTCAAAAAACAAATGGCTTCACCCTGTACAGATTTCCAGGTAGCTCTCTGGTTGCTTGCATTTCCTTGAGTTTAGGGGCTTTCAGAACTTCATATGCAAAAAGGTCTAGGCTCTGATCTTGCAGACATCTTGGTTTTAATTCAAAGCACTCTTAACACCCACATCAATCACTACTCTTTAAATCCTGCAGCTCAGTAGACAAAGTAATTAAGGCACAAGTTACTTCTGAAAAAATCTGTCCCTGAGTTTCCAGTGAGTGGGTTAAAATCAGTACTTCTTATTGATTTCAGAAAAAACTATACGTATGCATGAGAGAACATAATATGATCCCACTGAAACAGTCATACTAGATTATCCAGCTGTGGACCAATTCACAGCACAAAACCCAATCTTATCTGTATAATGACAGGACTCCTTCAAACTGCATGACCAAATCCTATTAGGATTCCTCCTGTGGTTAATTAAGGGCAGGCTTCTCCTGTAACACAGGATTTCTTGTCTGTTTGGACATCATTCCAATGATGGCAGCTGAAAAAGCAGTCTCATCTATGGTAGATTTATTTCTAATAACTGATGTGTGTGGGTCCTTCATATATTTCTTTCTATTAATTTCTCCTAGTTTTTCAACCGAACTTGAAAGGTTTAAGTAGCCACAGAGGTCTTATGGATAAAGTCTTAGTTCAGAACAAGCATAATTATGCATCAACAACTACAAGACTGAGAGAAGTTTAAATGAAAACTTTTTTTCTGTAATGGTCACAACAAGAAGACATTTCATCAATTTCCGGTAAATCCACTGTAACATATAAATAAGTTCTCAGCTGAGAGGTTCTTTTTTGTTTGTTTTTGTTTCATTTCTTTATAATTTAATTAAGCCAGTATGTCTTTGATTTACAGTAGACCATGTTAGACATTCTCAAATTAATTTTTCAGTTTATTAAAAGACAGTATTTGGCATTGTTTATTGGAAAAAATAATGTACATGAAATGATACTCTCTAGTGTCTTTCAAGAGTATCTAGAAGAAAAACTAAGTCTGTTGTACTCCTCCTCCTCCAGCATTGTATAAGCCTTTTTGAGTTACTTCTGAGAACAATTCAAATGACACCCATTATATAAACTCAAAGTATCTTATGGTAACACTCATTCATACTAGTAACATAGGTTTTGAAATATTGATGTTATTCTTGCTTATTTTTACAGAAATGTTATGTATTTTACACAAAGTGGTAACTATTTACCCGCTGAACTAATACACTTATTGATTTAGTCTTGTAACAACTATCTTATTAGGATTCCTACTAATTTAAATGTATTTCCTATTTTCTTTTATTTTCTATTTTTCACATTCTACTAGCCCTAGCTATACAGAGTGCCAATTTACCACCTTTTCATATTAGGATACTGTTGTTTACAAGTAATATGACTTCATGTGACATAACTGTGTATTTACTTGTAGGACTGGGCCGACACTTTCCCTGCTTTGTGGATTCCATTCCTTAGTGGGTTTAGTTGAATGATACTGCCCTCTACAGGTGAGTATCTTAATGGAAGTTCAATTTATTTTCTAAAACACAAATTCAGTCTTGTTTCTTGGTTTGTCCTTTGGTTGGTTGGTTGGGTTTTTTTCTGTTTTTTTTTTTTTTTTTCCCCATACATCATAGATGGTTTTTAACTTGACTCTCGGATTTTCAGTTCTCTAACAAGAAGAAGTGTAAAACACGTGTCTGAATACTTCAGATTTTTCACAGTGCATTTTTAAATACAAAGGAAATGTGTTATCGGTTTTGCCTTCTGACTTTATCCTTGGAAGCACCGGTCACAAACACTCTTGCTGACTTTTAGAGGAATAAATTGGAAAATAGCACTGAGTATAAACAGATAGAGGAGAATCTGGCTCTATTTTGGGAATATGCAAATCTGGCACAAAAATTCTGCATCTCACTGAAATATGAAAGTGGCATACGCAGTAAGAATAAAAATATTTTTAAAAATTAAGTTGAATCAGAATCAGGCAAGCATCTTCTTCCCTGTTCAATACCTTTTAGAAAATAAAAAATAATGTGCTGCTGTAAGTTTAAAACAGAATCTCAGAGGTATGTTTCCTCTGGCAGAGGCATGTTTTCCTCTTGTGTTATCTCCATAAGGGCAGCAGTTGTCTTTGTACAGAGAAGTTAACAGAGAACCTAAGTCCCTCTCAAACCTTTAAAACTAAAATGAAACAATTAGCACCGCAAAAATTCTCGTTTTAGATTTTGTACCACTCAATTTCTGCTGACAGAATGCACCTATCCAAAAGCAGAGTATGAATCTTCTTACTGCAGAATATTTCAGGTGCAGTTTTAAGTAGCCAAAAGTAGCATTCACAAGATATCCAGCTCAGCATTCACCTCGTTCCCCAATGCTTCCTTAATCACACTTACTGGCACTGTTATGTTCTCTTTTTATTATCTGTAGATAAACCTCATTTTCTACAGCACAAAAGTATCCCCTCACAGCATCCCACGGTATTCATTAGACTTATCCATAACTAACCTGCCTCAGAGATGTTGAATACTGATGAGTGATCACTAGTAACAGATGAGGCTGATGACTGTGATGATCCAGGAGTTAATTCTGAGTTACCTGCTTCAACTGCCCCTTCAGTGTCTCTCTCATTAAAGTCAGGAAAACTGAAATCTGTTGAAGTTTCATTATCATTAAGGCTATCTGAGGTACCTTGGCCAGAACCACTTTCTTCATCACTTGTAAAAACAGCCCAAGACTTAGACTCTGATGTGTTTTGCAACTGGACACTAGAAGTCTGAAAGTGGTTCTCCAAAACTGTTGGGTCGTTGTGCTTCTTAGGTATCACACTTGCTGTCAAAGTTGGTATGGATGTATAATTACGTCTGTCCATGGCATGGTTTATCTGACTGTCTGATGCAGCAGCTGAAAATTTATCTTCTTCAGGTTTCTCAGAATGTGAGCTTATAATTAGGTTACTCTGATCCTCGTTATTGTTTACCTTTGTATTTTGATCCTCTACTACCATATCCTCATCTTCTCTATGAGATACAGTTACTTACAGGGAAGCCATCATCATATTCATCGTAGTCATCCTCAACTACAGGAGGCCACAAATCGGTACTGGACATGATACTGGGAGACAACCCAGAGGATTCTCTAGAAGGAATCAGCAAACTACTCGAAGTTACGGGGATCTCACTTTTGGAAGGAACACCCGTAACTGAAATATGTACATTTGGTAAAGGAAGAGTGCGATGAACAGACACATCAGAAACAGAAACAACTGCAGGCATATGAACAGGATCAAAACCATGTGTGGAACTTGAAGAGACACTGGCAGTCTCACTTGTTTCAAAAACACTTGAAGAGATACGGCTGTCTGTAGGAGTAGCTACGTGTGGTAATGTATCACCTCTTAGGAAGGGAGTTGTTACGGCATTTGCTGCTTGGAGGGGAAAGGCATTTGTATTTTCTAAACTGGTCAGCTGGAATGAAACATCACTACTGTACAATGAAGGCATAACCTTCTGAAAAACTTCACTGTTAAACAAACTGGATGAAACATACTCCTCACTCGCATAAGAAACAGATAAACCTTGAAGTGACGCTGTGGGCTTACTAAAAGTGTTTGACATCATATCAGCAACAGAAGGTGGAGATGTAGGATGCAGCTTGATTTCAGTTGTAGCAGAACCTGGTGCCATTTGATGCAATATTTGGTCAAATGTAGAACTATCTTTATGAACCCTTGAACTTTCAGCCAATACCGGATCACTAGGCACAACCGCAACTGTGTTAAGCAGAGTGCCATCGTCAGAAGATTGGAAGGAGGACTGCAGTAACGCTTCATTATTTAAGGTAGCTGAGGTCTCATAAAAGTACAGCTGAGTCGAGGATAACATTTTGCTATAAGCAGGGGCAGAGAGAGCTTGATCTGAGCTTGCACTAAGCATAGGTTTAAGCAAAGTGTCGTCAAAGGCCGGAGTTGTAACATGCAAAGGCTGAACAGAAAGGTGATTTTCTGTAAGTTTACTAATATCATCATCAAATATCTTAGTAGTGGGAAAAGCAAAAGAGACTGGAAGTATTCCCTTTGTGCTAGAAACAGGAAGTGGGCTTTCTTGCAGAGATGTATTCTGCTTAATTACATCATTATTAGAAACAGATGCAGAAAGTTCATGTATCACTTTACTTTGAGCACTGGAAGACACTTCACTTAAGGAGGAGGAAATTTTCAGTTCTCTCTTATCTCCATATATAACATCACCTTTTTGGAGCATGTTATTAACATCACTAAACCCGGACGATTCATATAGAATCTCATCTACAGAATCAGAGGAAGAAACATTAAGTATCATCAAAGTATCTGTATCAGGCAAAAGGGACTCACTACCAGAGTATGCTTCAGACCAATCCATGTCACTAGATAGAGAGTGTGTAGGCTGCAGCAAAGTATCAGCTTGTGATATTACAGAAGAAGGTTTATGCACCAGTACATTGTTATAGCTGCTAAATAAAGGATCTTGATGAAATATGTCAACAGAATCATGCACAAATTCTGAAGAGTCATAGGAAACAGTAAAGCTTTGGAGGGAGCCCACATTACCAGACAAAGCATAAGGAAGTTCAGACATTGTAGAGAGTACATGCACATTTAAATCACTGCTGGATGGTTCAACTTGAGAAAATATGTGAGTTCTATTATGACCAAATATCAGTGTCTCTGAAGCAGCATGAGTGGTCTGATGTGACACCACATCAGCATATTCAGCAAGGCTTGGCTGTATTAATGTATCACCCTCTGCCAACGTCAAAGAAGCATGCAGGGACACCTTATCACTTGCAACAGCTGGAGTAGCACTTTGTGGAAACATTTGAGAAACTGTATACAAACGGTGAAACATTTTACTACTGGAGGAAGCAGAGGAAAATGTAAGCAAAGGTATATCATCATAGGAAGACAGGGTGGGTTCAAATGACACATCAACACTGGGAAATACAGGTGTAGCATGCAAGGTCACATCACTATCTGATGCAGCAGGGGTAGAGTCGAGCATCTGAGAGTCAAACAATAAAGGGGTGACTAGAGGAAACACTTCACTACTGTAGGAAGGTTGAAGAGGTATCTCACCATTATAGACTGGCTGAGTTGTCTGAGAGAGTACCTCACTGGCAGCAGAAGCAGAACCAAATTCTCCAGAGCTTGAAGAGATAGAGTGAGGTGATAATTCAGCAGAGGAGAAAGCAAAGGTAGAATAATGTGGCAATTCTAAATCCGCATCTGAAGTGTCTTGTGAAATCACTGGGCTGCTGGAAGAGGGCAATGTAGCTGGCTTTAATGCCTCTACATAAGCATCAGTGTAACTGATCTGAGACAATTGCCTACTAGCTGATGTATCAACAGATTGAGTTGTTGGACCTGTAGCATTATGAAGCCATAAATATCCATCAGTTGAAGTATGCTTTGGAGGCTCATCAGAGCTTGAGGGTGCTGCACCTTCTGAAACATATTTAATGGAGCCTTGGGAAAGAACATCATGCACACTTATATCTGGACTTCCTGAAGGAAGGGTATCTTCTTGGGAGGTCTCCTCTCTAACCAGCTGTGCTGAAGAAGTGGTAGGAACTGAACTCCAGAAGTCATCAGATTCCTCATCAGGTTTAAAAGGAGACAGTAAGAAATCTTTGTCACTGTGGCCAGTAGTGGCTATTCTTGTTGGTTCAGTGCCTGAAGAAAGGTATATGTATTCTTCTTCTACGCCTTTGGTGGAGTCGATGAGCTGAGGAGGAATTCCAGTAATTGTTTGGGACTCCAAAAAATGATCTTCCTCTTCAGAAATTTCACCAACAGGTGGAGAAGTAGCATAATAAACTGCTTTGAAAACATTATCCTTGCTACGCAATTCTTCCTCTCTTGTAAAGTATCTATTTGTTTTAGCTTCATGGAGATTTGTCCCCATTTTTTCTTGACTGTAGCTGGATGTAATCACCTGGAAATCTCTCCTCAACTGGTTTATTGTACTGTCAGTGCTAGGAACCATTGCAGTTTCTTCATCCACCTCTGTTTCCTTTTCATCAACTTCATCCTTTGAAAAAATATCATAGCCGAAGACAATTAAAAATGTTTATAGACTCTGTACCCAAATGAAAACTAAAACTGCAACAATATATTTTCCTGGTTCCATAAAATAAGAGGGGCAAAGCAAGACAATACTTGAGAAAACTGCTGGTCTTAAAAAAAGTATTAAGCATACTTAAGAAAGTATTTCTGCAAAGAACAGGTATCCTCTTCTCTCTTGAAAAATATCAATTATTTGCAATACAAACAAAAAAAAATCCTTTGTCTAAACAACTTCCTAAATATTGTGATACTTTTATTGGGTTTGAGAAACAAAAATCAGTCATAGTATTTACTTTATTAAAAAAACCTCTACCTCTTTCCTAATAAAATGTAATTGTATATGCAATATACAGTGTATATTGTATACACAAATATTCCCAAATCTTCGTTCATGAAGCCTAGCCATGATGATGATTATGTATACACATTAAAAAATGAGTTTGCTATCAGAACGTCTTAGAGATTTGCACTAATATCCTGATGTTGATTTAATTGTAATAATAATGGAATTTGTAAAATATATTTATGACCTGCCCTCAAATCTGCTGAATCTTCTGAGTTTTCTGAAAAAGATTTCAGGATGGTCAGCATGACTGTGTTTCACAAGTGTTGTGAGTGATATCCTCTAGTCCCTGTTATGACCCTTTGTTTGCTGAACAGGAATAACAATGAATAATGATACTTTGTGCAAAATCTGTGTAAGAGTTTTGACTTTTAAGGACAGATTGAAAAGAAAAAAAAATTACACGCCCAAATATCAGGATTTAGGCATTCCTTGAGGATCTAAGTTTAAAACCTTTTATCTTCTCTCCCATTTTACATACACCAAATCAAAAAACATAATGTGGAAGCATCTAAATCACTGAGCAAGCATTTTTGCTTTGACCCAGACACAGCAGCACCTGCAGCTCTGTGCTGTGCCCCCATCTAGACCTGCATCACAATCAAACCTGTCCAAGCACAACTCTGCAAACTAGATTGAAGGACACCCTCACTTTCTGAAGGGAGTTGATTTGACAGGCACACACAGCACAGAGTCTCTTGCAAAATACAGTCCCAACTTCTTTTTTTCTTTTTTAAGATCTGGCTTGGTGATGTGGTGGTAATGCCTCCTGTTTTTATTCAAACGCATAATGTTGAGAGAAAACATTGAGGAGACTGGAGATTGGGGCACAGTTATCAATCTAACAACTTCTCATCTTCAACTATAGTTTAGGTTGAGTAGATCATCCACTCCTGCACTGAAGAGGGCACAGCAGGGAGAAAAATGTAAAAAATTTAAAAAATCAAAAAAGCCTTTGAAAGAAAGTGCCCAAGATAAACACCTGCTGAATACATTACCAACTGAAGCACTCAGTGAATAGAAATTGTTTGCTTTTACCCAGCCTCACCAGAACAAGGGCTTTACCCACTAGGCTAGAGCTGTGCTTCACACTGCAGTCCCTTTTTGTACCAGGAACTAGTACTAGTGCACTCACACAATATCAGGTAGCTCATACATGACTCAGGTTTGGATTTCATTCTATGGACTAAATACCTAAAATGTAGGGACAGTAGTACCTAGACTCTGTGTCCTCAAACTTGTTTCTGAAAATCTTTCTGTAGGGCGATGCCTGCACTTTTAAACTTTCTTGATTCAAGTAAAAATCAATTGAGGTTCACTGGTACTCAGTTACTAACCTGACAGGTACAATATAATAATCTAGATACATAGCTTACATCAGAGAAATGACTATATTATTGGTTACTCAGTGTCCATAAATGCAAGGGAGAGTAAAGAGATAGACAGATAAGCACAGACTGCCTACTTAACTACAAGGACTTGATTAAATCATGTCAAATCACAGAATATTCTGGAAAGGACCCACAAGGATTATGGAGTCCAACTCTTAAATGAATGGCCCATACAGGGATCATACCCATGAAGTTGGTGTTATTAGCATCATGCTCTAACCAACTGAGCTAATCTCAGGGTCACACAGTGAAAACATTGATGTCATAGACCTCCTTACAAATTCTGAGGGATTACTTGATACCAATGTAGGTCTTACTGCAGGAACTGCCCATGTTGCAAAATTGGTATTAGAGACTGTTGAAATCTTGTGTATTTTTACCTCTCTCCTTGCTGGGACACCAGAAACCTAGTTACTGAACATGAAGCCTTCAGAGATTATCATAAAGTCATAAAAAATTGTGTAAAACAGAGCTATATTTTAAAGTCTAACTTGAGTTCAAGAAGCAAATGACCCCCCCAAGAATTTTGGAGTGACTATTCAACCAATAACACACTGATAGCAGACACACATGAATCTCACTCTTCAGCACAATTGCCTTTCTCCCTTACTTTAGTTTAATATGTGATAAGACCATCATAAGCAAGTCAACTTCTCTTTAAACAAACTAAAAAGCCTAACACTGGGTGAAAGTTTGATTCTGCTAAATGAACAATTTTGTCAGGTGATTGTACCTCGATTGTGTGATATCCCTTGCTTCACCATCTATCTCCAGCCCCAGAGAACTAAATACTGAGGTATCTCTATAGTTATCAAGGAAGAAATATAGCTCAAAGGTTGTATATGTGCATATATATGTATGTATATATAAATGCAGATAATACACTCAGCTGGTGACATATTTTTGTGAATTTTCACAGAATATGATTTCAATTTAGTTGAAATGCATTTATTTGAAATTCTCTCTTAAAAATAAATGAATGCTATACCTCATATTCTTCAGTTTCATTCAGTTCAGGAATGAGGTCAGCCTCTACAAAACAAAAATACACACCGTATCATCGAACATTTTAAATTGACAGAATTATTAATTCTGGAAGGACTCAACAGAGTAGCTAATATGTTTATTGAACCATGTATAATATGTTTTATAGGACTGTGTTTGGAGGAGTGGCCAACATCAGGGTTGAGAACTGAGGGTAGAAATGCTAATGCATCTAGACAGGTCATATTCAGCCACAGCAGTTTTGCCTGGCTCTAATTTGATACTGCAGCCCATGTTGGATTTGCACTGAGGAACCACATCTTGGTGAGGGAAAGGGAAAGGTAAGTTGATGAGAACATTTTCCATAAGAAAGTACAGTTTAATGCAGAAATACAGAAGAGAGAAAAATTACAAGTTTGACAACCAAATAGTTCTCTGCATTTAACCTGAAAGCTTGGAAGATATTATCGTAAAATGATCTGTTCTATAATTTTCATGCAGCAAATTCTTTATTTATGCACCCAGGCTTGGAGTTAGGTACTAGAGCAACAGCCATACCATCATACTCAACGTGCAGCAGGCTGCCTGTCTCTGTCAGGGCAGACCAAAGAGACCCATCTTTCCTTGATGCCACTGCTTATGGCCTTTTTCAAATTCACACTCCACTTGATTTAATTTAAGGACATGTAGCCAGTTGTATCACATCCCACAAAAGACCCTAATAAACATGTACTGGGCATTCTCAGAAGAACTCTTCTAAAGGCTTTTGAGTCATCCCCACTTTTCATAAATAAATAACAGCTGAAACAGGATGAAGACATTCATCTCCTACAGCCCAGGTGAAAGTCCTTCTCTCCAAATTCAGAGGTAGTCTCTTGCCTTCTTTCTCTCTGTCTTTTTGGCCAAATCCAATAGTGTACTTCTGGTGGTGATCAGCAAGAAAAGCTTCAAAGTAGGTTGAAAGAAATGTACAAATCTCTGGTAGGAAGTGGCACAGGTCTACAGTGAGGGAATTTAAACCTTTCCACAGTGCTAATGCATACTACTGTTCCTTTGGTACACAGAAAGGCCCATTCCTGTTCTGAGCCTTTCTAGGGCTTTTTCCTAAGAAATGTTCTAGCACTCTATCTGTACACAAATGCTAGTACATAGTCTGAGGGCTCATTTGAACTAAGTGAAAATGCCGGTCTCAGCCTAGGGAGCGATTTGAACAATAGCATCGCACACAGCTCCATGTCAGCATTTCCTCCACAATTCCCAAATGAAGTTTCCTCAGTAAACTAGTATAAAGTTGTCATCTTCATATTTCTCATTTCTGCAAAGTCAGATGGGGATCTACGACTTAATTTGTATTCTCTTTGGTCTGTCCATATTTACCTTTCAAAATAAATTGAGACGTGCTACAGGCAACATACGCTAGATGAAGTTTATCCAAATAATAAGCTTAGACAGTTTCATTTCTAAAGTAAAGCGTGCAAACAAATTATGACTAAACAATGCTGCACAAAATCTTCATAAATTTTTCTTTTGTAACAAACATTTATAAATCACCAAGTACTGAACTGACCTCTCATTAGCAAGATATATAAAAATTATCTTACCTCTGACTCCTGGAAGCCCAGAAGGCTCCAGGGCAGGGTGGGGAGGGGAGTGGAGGGAAGGAGGGGGTAGACGAGATAATGATATTCCCTGGCTTCTCAATGACATAAATCAGTATTGTAGACATTAGTTTGAAAGTCTTCCCACAGTAGACCCATGCCATGTATTCTATACTCAACAGACTTCTCTGAAAAATGTTTATAATACAGGGAAATGCTATCCATTCTTTTTGTGGTCTCTATTCTTGAGCTGAGCTTTAACCAGACTTGATTAGAAAAATAAACTGTTCTGAATGTGCTGGAGTAAACAGTAGGGCACATGCTCTCAAATTCCACCAGATAAAAGTAGTTTCTTGCTATTTTCTCCACAGAGAGGCATTAGCATACATTTATATAAAAACTATATAAAAACAACAGTAAATCTTAAGGAATTTTATAGAGCCTGTTTAAATTTAGTTGGTCATAGGAAATTTATTTGTCAAAAGTATTAGAGACACACACCTACAGAAGTTCTGTTAATCCTGTTGCTGAGCTTTTGATTTACAGGAGATTTTAGAAATATACTAACATTCCCCAACCAAAAAGAACTGCAACCTCCAAATACAATCCATGGATGTAGGTTGATGAACAAGCTTGTTTATTTTTTCTGGAACATATATTGATTATTCTATACTTTTCAATAAAATAATTAAATCATTAGTTAGAAAGTTTTGTAGAGGTCTTTTCATAGTCCGTTTCAACAGCAGATGAAGAAATGATAGAAGAAAGACAAAAAAGTTAATCATTTCCCTACATTTATGTTCAATGCAAATCTTCAAAAAAATCTCTTTAAAGAGTTTGATTTGTAATTGTAGAATAATATGAACAACATAAGCTGTTTTCATTTCTGTACTGACTTTTGTAATAAATGGCATGGCAAGAACAAAACTAGAGCCTGTTTCTTTTGATTAAATTAATTTTCAGATTTCTACTTGTATCAGTACAAAATTAGAAAAAAGCACCCCCTAAATTAGACATTTAATATATGCTTAGCGGTTTTTAGGACTAAAATCACAAAGACAGGTTACAAAGAAATTGCATAGTTAGACCCTCGCAAAGCATTGCTGACGGTATGAGCTGCCATGCAGGAGATGGCACAGAGTTTTTTGATAAACACTATCTGAAGTCAATACAAAGGAGGATGAGCAGGGAGCAATATTCTTGTTTTCCCTTTCCTGTGTCAGCAAATGCATATAAGTAACATCGGTATTAACTACACAGCAAACTATTGCAGAACCTTCAGAGCTATACAGATGTTATTTAGAGAGTCAAAGCACACATTTAAACAGTTATTCTAAATCCAATTCTAATAGCAAATGAAAAATCTGTAAAAAAAAAGGTTGGACTTCTATCAAAGCTTACTAAAACACTCTATACATGATTCCCTTAGTTTTCAATGGAGGTTGTGTAGCTACATGACATAGTGTATCTGGTGACTTTCACTAAGTGGAGGCTAATTGGAAACAATTTTAATGTGCACACATACTGTATTACAAGATGAAAGGCTGCCACTCTCAAGAGATAAGGGAAATCCCAAAGAGCAGAGATCTCCACTATGGTGGTTTGCCCAGTGTCACATCATTGCTTCTGAGGCTTCCACAAACTGAGGCAGCGAGCATGGCCTGAGAGCGGTTCTTCCTCTTACAAAGCACTGCTGAGAATAAGAGAGTTTAAACCTTGTCTGTGGATCACCAGAGGCTGCAGAGCCCTCACTAACCCCATAAGGGAAGCACACAGACTGCATGGGAAGAAGGCATGAGAAACACTTTCTTGCAAGTGTCTCACAAGGAAAAGTCTAAAACAATGATCTTGAGCTTTCTAAATATCAGATTTGTGTACTGAAACTTCCCTCATTAGAAGTGGCCACTCCAAAGGCAGAATTCTTCCTGGAAAAGGCGATTCTAATGCCTCTGCATGACTCATGCCTTGCTCTAGCTCTTAACATGAATATTAATTGATCTGGAGGTGATTGCAGTGAATTTCATCTTAATTGGCTTACTCAGAGTAATTCTTGAAAACGAAAGATTTAATTTATGTTTTATGTGAGTCAACTTTATTTCATGTCTTCATGGTGAAGATAACTTTTCTTTCGTAAATTCACAAGCAGGAGCTCCAAGAAATCCCCTTTTGCCTCAAGATCTATAAAGCAGATCACAAAACCAATTTGATGTTACTGTTGAAAACAGCAAGTTGCTCTGAACAAATTTTTCTCATTAGGTATCTACATTCTCATATATCTTTTGTTTAATATTAGGAATATTTAAAATTAAATACAAAAATATTTGCAATATTTGCAGCACTTAATTCAGATGTAAATAATTAGTAAAATTAAGTATGCAAATAAACATTAATATTAGAGATTTAGAAATTTATAGAGCAATGTCCACCCTTAGGAATCGTACTAGTTACATGGAAGGAATTTTCCCCTGAATTTTTTTCATCCAACACTTTGAGAGGTACCATTGTGGAAGTGTCAAAATAAAAGAACCAAAGTAGATTGAATAATCTGGTGTTCATTTCAGACAGGAAGCATACCAAAGAAATATTTTTTGTATTTTGGTATTTAATTTTTATTTAAAAATTTCCCCCTATTTTTATTTATATTTTGTAGAATTTAAAATATCAACAAAGAAATTAATGGTGCGTCTGCATAAAAAGGCTTGAGACTATCAGACTTACAGTCAGAACTGCATACAAAGCTCAAGAGAAATTTCTGCTGACATACTGGAAGGTGAATTTAATTTCCAGTACGTATTTCCAAAGCAAGACCCTCACTCTTTCTTCTACTGGAATGAATGCAAAGCCACTGCTTTGCATGACTTCAGCAGCAATATGTGGATGCTGTGCTCAGTGACTGTACTGTTGGCCAGCTGCAGGCTGCCAAATGTCCCGTTGTCCTCTTGCTGACTTTGTTCCCCAGCACTATCTGCTTGCACTGCAGGTGTAGTGGGCAGTGCTTACCCAGCGCTCCTGTCTCTCTCTTTGCCTCTGCATTAGCCTTTCTTGCCAAAGGGAGGCACACAGCAGGGTGGTATGCAACTCATCCTCAGAGCAGGGTTACAGCAGTAGCAGTAGAAGGATGGTTTATCCTGTGGATACCACCTATACTGGATTTTGTTTTGCAGTATCTATTTTCAGAGATCTTACAGCTCTGATGGCAGCACTGCACTGACTTGATTGGTTGAACTACTGTTTAATAATGACAACACTACTCTGCTTATTTGCCATTCCATACAGAAACGGATGTGGGGTGTGTAGATGAACTTATCTGAGAAAATTATTCAAACACAAACCCAGTGAATTCTGGAAAGTAAGTGGAGGAATACAGTATTTAAGAGATGGATAAAGGATAAGCAGAAAAGTGAAATGACAGGCAGAATGTCACAACTTTTTTGTGGAATTCTTAGAAAACTAAAGAGAAATAGGAAAATTCTGGTAGATATCAGCATAAGACTCCGAAAATGCATTCTTCTTAATGCATTGTGTTTGAAAGACAAGTTAAATGTTTATTGAAAAACTGTATGTACTATACCAGATGCTGTGTCCTCCTCCTACAGACAAAAACACACTATTACAAGCCTGTTACCATTGTTAGTCCATAATTCATGCAGTAGAGATTGTTGAGAATCATATTCTTTTTCACTGTAAAGGAATGTGGCTCCCTTGAAATGAAAAACTGACCTGTTTTCCCAAGTACACCACAACATCACTAAGGACTTTGCTGTAGCCAAACAGACTTATGTAAGTGTACAACTGAACTTACAGAATATATAAATAAACAACAAAATCCAGGCCCTTAGATAAAAAATGGTTCCTTGCATGATTAGAAAGTCTTTGATTTTTTAGTATGAATAATTACAGGGTTCTTAGTTAAAAACATAGCTCTCACTTTCATAAGAGCTGGGTCTGATGCTAAAACTTTCACAGAATTTAAGGAATTATTAAGGACAAAATCAAGCTTCATGCTATAGTTTCAAATTATTTCATATTTACCAGCAGACAAAAGAAGTAAATCTGGCTGTGAAATCATTAAGATTTATTTGTTAGGACTTTTGATTTTTTGCAAGGCAGCATTAAGAAGCAAGGGAATTCCATTGCCACAAGTCTTTTGAAATCAAACTCCAAGTATTCATAAGAAATAAAATTTCAAAATCAGTAATACAGACTTATAAATAATATATTGGGGTTGTATTACTTGTTACCCTTATAATTTAGCTGTGTAGATTAATTTTGGGCTTGAGCCATAGAGAAATAATACCAAACAGAGTTTTATTTCCCTACATTATATTGATAAAAGATACACTTGTGAGATTTGAAATCAGATAGGTGTTTTTCAGAATATTCTTAGAGTTAAAAAAATTAACATGCAGTCTTTTATAGGTAATGCTTAAAAGGAATTACATCATGTAAAATATCAGTAGCAAGGAACATGCTGAGTGTTAACTGCAGTGATTTTGAAATTTCATTTTAGCATAATTTGATAGTCACGCATTTTAACTGGTTTGCAAACAAACTACTTCTTCAAATACAGATTTTCAGCTAAAAGAGATCACTAAGCTTAAAAGACCACTTACTTACCTGTGTCCTCTAAAGGCATATCCACAATGACTTGGTCACTGTATTTTCCATATAGACCATTAGAGCAAACAGCAACTATCTGAAGAACATAACTTGTATTGGGCAGCAGATTATTTAGAATAGCCCCCTAAAAGAAAAAAAAAAATCATGTTTAATAATTTACTTGCAAATAAGTATCAAATATTTGAAAATATTAATTTTTAATAACGCATTTTTCATATGAACCATAAAGCTCCTTTCTTCTAGTATTCTAATGTATGCTTTTTTATATTTTATTGTCACAAATGTTCTTCAGTCAACTTAAAAAAAAATCTTGTGACTTTTAATATGGAGGATACCAAACTATATAATTATTTAGTGCTCAACACAAGCTTGGGTAACATTATGTGTGATAAGTTATGAGTACTTAAAGAGGGTTACAGGAACATATCAGTAAAATAACATGAAGCTGTAATCAGTAACTTAATACTTATAGCAGTAGGATTGAATTGAATCTTATTAGATGTCTGTGTAGGTGATTCTTTCACATCTGTGAGCAATGAAGTACAGATCACTATTAACTGACTAACAGTTTACGGCTAAGCTCTGTAATTGACATGGTCATAAACATTTGGACCCAGTATAGGCAAGCCAGAGGTTTTCCCTGCAGAGGTTTTCCCTCTTCTGGGTAAGAGGGCTTTTACTTTTTTTTAAATTGTCTTTGTGGCTTTATGGCCGAAAAATGAACTACAGCTTCTGTGCGCTGGAGCCAAAGAAGGAATTTTTTATGGAATTGGCTCCCAGATAGAGTTTAATCCCTTAAGTTAATTAACAGAGAGTTGTTATGCCATCACTCCTTTTTATGAAACTTGAAGAGTAAGTTACCAAGTCCTGATACCCATCTGTCAGAAACTCATGCTTAGTTTGGTCTTCTCCATCCAA